ACTGTCTAATATTGAATTTATGAATAATATTAATAATTTTAACATGATAGTAATGAATATTATTCAATATTATTCTCAACGACTGACATACGTACGTAATTTAATTTAATTTAGCTCGAACCGCGATAGGCAAGCTCCGAGATCTAACGATACTCAGTTATAGAACTGGTCCGTTAAGTTTAACTTATGTATATTAAACAAGAAAAAACGTTAACTTCGGTTGCGCCGAAGCTATAATACCCTTCACAAAAACAAAGGCCCCTTACAAGAACTTGATTCCGAACGTTCAATTTGTATGACAGCTATATGATATAGTGATCTGATCTGACCAATTTCTGTGGAGAATAATTTGTTGTCTTAAGCAATAACTCGTGCCTTATTTCGTGAAGATATCTCGTCAAATAAAAAAATGTTCCATGCAAGCACTTTACTCCGATCGTTCAGTTAATATGGCAGCTATATGCTATAGTCATCCGATCCATACAATTTCTTCGGAGATTAGATTAATGCTTTAAATAATAATACATGCCAAATTTCGTGAAGATACCTCGTCAAATTAAAGAGTTTTCCATACAAGCACTTCATTCCGATTGTTCAGTTTGTATGGCAGCTATATGCTATAGTCATCCGATCTGAATAATTTCTTCGGAGATTACATTGCTGCCTTAACTAATAATCCGTGCCAAATTTCGTGAAGATACCTCGTCAAATGAAAGAGTTTTCCATACAAGCACTTGATTCCGATTGTTCAGTTTGTATGGCAGCTATATGCTATAGTGATCCGATATCGGCGGTTCCGACAAATGAGCAGCTTCTTTGTGAGAAAAGTACAGGTGCAAAATTTCAGATCGATATCTCAAAAACTGAGGGTCTAGTTCGCGTATATACAGACGGACAGACGGACGGACAGACAGACGGACATGGCTAAATCAACTCAGCTCGTCACGGTGATCATTTATATATATACTTTATATGGTCTCCGACGTTTCCTTCTGGGTGTTACAAACTTCGTGGCAAAATTAATATGCCCTGTTAAGGGTATAAAAAGAATTAGTGGACTTGAAATTAATTAATTTGCACTAAGACTGACAAGAGTAGGAAGTTTAATAAAATTCACCCAATTTGTAAAATAATGAATATTATAATGAGAACATTAGCCTACATTTTTTTAAAGGAAACAGCCTAAAACAAGTAAGGAAGTGCTAAATTGGAGTGTAACCGAACATTTTATACTTTCGCAAGGATCAAAGCCGAGGAAATACTTTCAAGTGTTGTCAAAACCTTATATTAACAAGTAGGGAAGGGCTAAATTCGGGATGGAATATTCTATACTCTCGCAATTTGCAAGGATCAAAGTTGGGGTATTCTAATTTCAATAATATATCTGAAAGGTTGACCGATATTTTCGGTAAAAAATTTGGAAAGAAACTGACGTCTACATATTCGGTATCTGGGAATGAATAGTTTTGGTTTGACTTGGTCAGAAGGTGACACACTTCAAAGGTACTATTCGTGCAAATTTTTATCAGTTTACATTGATTGGTTCTTGATTTCTATACTGGAAAGTAAAAGAATCAGATGGAATTTAAAATTGTGTTATATGCGAAGTAGGCGTGGATTTGGTCTGATTTCCCCCATTTATGCACAGTGATGTAGAAATGTTTGGATAATATTACTTATCGTATATGGTTGAAATCGGTCGAGTAGGTCCCGAGATATGCGTTTTCACCTAAAAAATGTGGGCTTACAGACATATAGTCATTTGGATTTCAACTCGTCTAGTCATCCTGATCATTTAAATATGTATAAATGACTCTATATTTATCTCGGTTAGTTTTAGGTGATATCGTAAAGTGAACGAAACTTTTATACTCTGTAACACCATATTGCGAGAGTATAAAAATTGTTTTTAACAAACATATTATAATATCTTGGACTCCAAATTACCGAGGTGACTAAATTAAGTTTAGATCAATTGCATGTAACAGCTGTTCTAGGAATATATATATATTATTTTGAGAGTATTCCGGTGAGATTGAAAGTGACACTCTTTAGATAACATTTTATAAGAAAAGGACAAGGACGTTATTGCATAAATGTACTTCCGAATTTGATAGTGCCTGTCGAAGGGGCACTTTTATATTTTCGTTCGGCCGAATTTTCAACGTTTAATGTTTTGTAATTTAAAAATTTTTACATGTCAGGGGTCATGAAAACTTGTGAGTCTCTATCATATTATTTTCCTTCCCCCATTTACCGCAAAGTTTTCGAAAAGTAAGGTGTGCTTTATTACCATTATAACAAGCCAAATAGCTTCAGTTTCAAATCATAATCTTATCAGCAAGACAATTTGCATCTGTCTTACAAATATGAACACACATATGAAATTTAATCTAAATTGGGCGGTGAATGAATAAACAAAAACAATTCATGTTTTTGGTTATATTCAGGTTATTTTATGGAGCTGTCACTTTTCTCACTAAGCAAATATCAGTCTAATAACCCAAACTAATTACTTTATTAAGGCAATAATCACCTACGCCCAGTAACATTGAAATTTTGGATCGTTTTCATTTATGTGCAAAGTATTTTAATTCACAGTTGTGCTACATATATAAGAATCTGGAAGCTATTGAAAATTATAAACAAACATCAAGTAGATGACAGTAAAAAATATATGATAAATTAGCCCTTTTATATCCTTACGTGATAATGAATTCAGTTCAAGATAAACTGGAAAAGTATTTAAAAGTGCCCCTATACAATAACAAGGAGAAATTATATAAATACGTTCTCACGTCACCAATCTTAACCTATTGTGCAGATTTACAGATCTATTATTATCATTATTTTTTTTTATAAAAAAAGGTAGGTACCCTTGTCCCTGAAATCAAGTCATATATTTTTAATTAAAATTAGATTTTCACTTTTTAATCCAAGATATTTGTGATTAAAAATTAAAAATATTAGTTTTTGATTTGAATGAACTCAAAAAAATGTTAATCCTAAGCCAAATTATTTTATTAATTCTTAATTATATGCTTAAGACAGAAATTTTTCTTTTTTATTAAAAAGTAAAATATTATTTTTAATTCCAACTACCGGATTGAAAAATAAAAAAAATTTCAATCTTAAGCATATAATTAAGAATTACAAAAATTATTTGTTTTTGAATTAACATATTTTTATTTTTATGTTCAAGAAGAATAAAAGATTAATATTTTCAATTTTTAATCCCAAACATCTGGGATTAAAAAATTTAATTCTAATTTTTAATCTCAATTTTTTTAATTATAAAATTCGCAACCCTGCTATCTACAAGTATGTATCGCCTTATAATCTAAACTAAATCGGTCGATACTCAAACAAGGAATGTACGAGTTCCATTACTGCCAATAAGATGTGTGTTCAAAAAATATGCGCATAATATCGAATGGGGAATATTTTGAAAGCGACAACATTAATGCATGTATGTGAGACAAATGAGTAAAAACATTTTTCAAAAAACGAAACCGTTACTTTGTGAACACTACTCATAAATCAAATCGGCCGAGAGTGTGTAATTAATGTTCTTCCCGAAATTAACTCTCCTTTAAATGAGTTATATATTATAAAGATAAAGTCGCTGCTGGCTCGAATAAGTTCCAGCTGAGTGGCCCAATTTTCGATCACTTTTTTCAGCAAATAGGCCGTATGTCGATAATAGCGCTCGGAACGTTATCTTCCAAGACGTCAAACATTTTCAGCTTATCTGCATAGACAAGCGATTGCACATAACCCCAAAAAACCCCACGTCGCGAGATAATGCGCTCTCCAAAAGTTTCCTTCAGTAAATTGATTGTTCCGCAGTGCCGTCTTGTTGGAACCAAAGGGTGTCCACATCACAAAAAAGCTCTATAGCGTTCCTTATTGACCGTAACATTATGGCCGTCTTCATTAATGAAGAAATATAGACCAATGATTTTCTCTGCCCATAGATCACACCAAACAGTGACTTTTTGAGGATGTAAGGCATCTCACCAAATGCGATAAGTTGGCTTATTAACGTACCCATTCAACCAAACGTGTGCTTCATTGCTGAATAAAATGCGACCCGCGAACCGATTTTGGTAGGAAATTTCCACGATTTGCAAACGTTGTTCTCTAGTATGTTTATTATGAAATGGCCAATTGAACTGAGTATAAATCAAGTAACAGCCCCAAAAAGAGCAACTCCAAAAAAATATTGCCTCATTAAAAACAACAAGTCTTAAAAAAACACCCGTTATTTGGCTGCTAGGAACAGACATTATGGCCGTCTAAGAGAATATAAGCATCGGTTCCGCCTATTACCATAAAATAATTGCCGAATGTCAAATAATTATTTTGTTTCAATATCTTTTTTGATGCTTGACTTATATGTGGTATAGTCGAATATTTTAATGGAACGGAAACCTGTTTTCAATAGGAAATAAGCATGGTTGTGATCAAATTTCGTCGTTGTTCAAACTTCACTAAGAAAGCTCTGAAAAAGTAGCTTCAGCATCTGAAGTTTGATTTAGAAGTGTATTCACACGTCTATAGTTCAATTTTTGATTATTTTGATATATCGAATTCTATCGAGTATGTTCTATTATTTTAATGTTTTAAATATATGTACGTTAAGTAACACTCTTATGCAAAATGGTGCTAGAATACAAAAACATGTTATATTTAAGAGTAGTAGCTATAAAACGGGCTAAAAAGTTATCTTAACTTATGTAAGTAATTTGATATTTTAATAGATGGATTTTACCAGATCTTTTCGGTATATCTTTCAATATACCAAACTTATTAGACCTTCATGAATCATACGATTTAATTCGTATTAATATGTAGCAGAGATAGTTCTTATTTATGAATGAATAAGTAATGTGTAGTTTCAGATCAATTATATCCGTAAGTTTTTAACCCCCACTAAAAGGGAAAGAATGCCTACATAAAACCATTCACCGATATTCAGCCATAACAAAACAAAAATATGCCATCTTTAATTATCATTCAATTTATTTATATACAATTTAATTCATTTCATTATCTTTTCTTAAAATACTACATAATACTTGTTCGCACCTTGTGCACATAATTGCATTAAATACAAAAAGTAAAAATTATTATTTGTTTAACATATTTGTTTTTTCATTTCAAATAAACACTTTTATAAATAGCAAAACTTAAAGCACCGACTAATTATAGTGAAAAATATGGTTTTTGCATATCTTCGCAAATAATTCAGTCTTTTGCTTACATACTTACAAATCTAAGTAATTCTAAGTCGTTTTATGTATACACATAGTTAGCGATTTCATGGTATTATGTAACGTAATTGACGCTACGCAAATAGAAACGATGCATCTGTAAGCATATTATTTACAAAGAAATATATATGTACATGTGCTGTCTATCTTTTCATTTATAAAAGTATTGTAATTATATACATATGTGCACTTATGGCTATTGTTATTTTTGTTGTTTTTGCTATTCCCACTCACTTGCAATCCATAATAATAACAGAGCTTGCTTAAATATGTATTAAAAAATACAATTAGACGCAACTTTAACTAATATCACAGTTCTTTTGAGAAAAATTTATTCGTTTTACGTTGTAAATATGTAAATATATATATATATGCTCTATATACACAATTATCCAAGTAAGTAGCTACCAGATAGCGCTATCACGGCACAAATTGACTTTGTCATATAAGAAAACGCTTTACGTTACATTACGTTGTTCTTAAGTGTGGCCTTACGTGCGCCTGGTGTGATTCATACTGACACATGCTGTCACATTTAAATCGATTAAATGCATATACATGTGTACATATTGGCGACCGTTAGTCCATCTGTCGAACTAACAACTGAATTTCTCCAACTCATTCACTGTGTAGAAATTTATTGCTGGCGTTGTTGGTGTCTGCGGTGTGTGAACGCCGCCACCATTACTGTTATTGCTCACATCTTTGTTCGCTGATGGATCGATGGGCGCGAAAGGTATAACGAACACGCTGGTTTTGGCGTCGTGTTGCATTTTGATCACTGTCTCGTAGCTGGGCGGTGCAAATTCGCTGTACGATGGGGAGGGTGTGGGCGGTGCAATGGGCACTTCGTTGCGCAGCACATTGCCTCTGTTCTCTGTGCAGCGTCTGTCCGAGCAGGCCATGAGCAAGAAGAAGGCCGCCAGCGCCAGAAATGTGGCCACATACCAAACAATGGTTATGATGTCCATGGCAGTTTGTGACAATTCGTTGGATTGTTCGTGTACTGCTGGAAAGTAAACACAGAAAACAAGTTTATTATTAAAGGGTTTATATAAAAAGTATAGTAAATAATTAGTCAAATTTAATTATAGAAGCTGTGTAAAAACAAGTACAAGTTCAGGTGTACATTGGAATTCACACTACGACCCATAATGACTTGACTCATGAATCGCAAGTTGGAAAACGAGTTAGTGATTACTATTAATCCGTTATTGTGAAATTGAAAACGAAGCGCGCGCTGACTGGCTAAAATTACTCTCTACTGTAAATACCATAAGCCGCACTTGAATTATTATTATTTTTTTTTTGTTAGTTCTAACAAGAGTTTCACAACTGGTTACAGGGAAAATACGGCGGATGCATATACTTATGGTTCAACGGTTTTTTTCTCGTTTCAGACTTTTAAAAGGCGTGTTAACGTATGCTGACATATATGGTCCACTCGTGAAGGTCATTGTACTGTGCGAAGTACCTAAAACCGCGATTTACCGTTTGATAAGAATATTTTTAAATTTCAATAATTATAGAACTAGGCGCTTATCTTTTAATCACAATTAATTAAATGTCATATCACATGGAGTAGTTTGTAATCCAACTAGGGAAAGGTGACTGCTACACTTTCAATATATACTGCGATCCAGGATCACGATATTTATTAGTTAAATATGCAATATTGATTGATATTTAAATATTTTGAAATCCAAATCGCGGATTGTGGGTCGCGCGATCAATATTGAACGTTTAGCATATTTTGTATACCAAAGCTGTCTTTGATTTTTTTTTCAAAGACATAGCCGCTTTTCTTCAGTTTTCTTCTGACATTTTGTAAAAAACGAATGAGAAATTTAAAAACTAATTAAGCATAAACATTTTTTATATCTTTGTTTCAAAAACACGATTGATTGCGAATTGATATAAGCGCGATAAATATGGAACGAGTGACAGGCGCTAAAAATGATTGAGTTTCAAATTGAATGTTTTATTGGCAGAGCGAAAATTCAAGCTTTATATACATATATATTATATATTATATTGTACTTATGTAAAATAATGATGCCAACATGTTAAATGACCGCCCGCTTTCTCATACTCTAATCTAATCTGTCCTTAATATATTTTAGCACTATACCTATAAAGGTGAAATGGGTAAAAGTTTTCGTTGATAAAGACCACCTAACACATAATGGTACAAAATATGTTGTGACTTCATAATATAAATAAAAGTGATCATATAAATATTTACTGGTTACCTAGAGAGTTATTAATAAAAAAACATAAGGTTTGAATAATTTCGTTCAAATTCCGTGAAACCGAATTCGTAATCAAATCGGCTGTTTATTCTCGAAAGAAATAAAAGTTAAGAGGAATTTATTTAGACAAAATGTAATTATGCTGCATTTTCAGGAAAAAAACAATAAAAACGTTCGGTTGTACCGAAGTTATTATACCCTTCACAAATAAACAAGTTTCAACAAAAAGATTTTTCAAAACTAACAATTACTTCGGAGATTACGCCGTTTTCTTGAACAATAATATGTACATGCCAAGTTCGTGAAGATATTTTGTCAAATAAAAAAATTTTCTATACAAGAACTTAATTTTGGTCGTTAAGTTTGTATGGCAGCTATATGATATAGTGATGCGATATCGACGGTAAGTCCGACAAATGAGCAGTTTCTTGCGGAGAAAAGGACGTGTGGAAAATTTCAGATCGCTATCTCAAAAACTAAGGGACTCTTTCGGCTATATGGTATACAGACGGATTTGGCTAAATCGACTCAGTTCGTCACACTGATATATATGATTTATATATATTTTTTATAGGGTGTCCGACGTTTCCTTCTGGGTGTTATACACTTCGGGGCAAACTAAATATACCCTGTTCAAGACATAATAAAACATTTTCAAATCATATTGATTTAGCTCTTTCAAAAATTACACACTCTCATCAATAATATTAGTAGCTAATTCTGATAATACATATATTATTGATTACGGTTTATTAATAGGAAATGGCGTCGTTCTTTATTTCACGTATGCGATATACATATGTATGTAGCTTTCTGCCGTGCATCTACACAGAACGATAACACAAACAGCTATCAAAACAAAGCGAAAGTGCAATTTTAAATTTAAAACTTTAAATAGTACATTGTCAATATTTCTTAATTAATTTAAATTTAACGGTAGTTGCACTGCAATCGTTTTAACCCATTTCCGCAAACTAAAGTGGTACTTTTAGGCACTGATACTCACTACTCTTAATAACAATTATCGTGGTGTTGTTATCGTCAAACTCTTCACGGGTTTCAAAATGTATGTTTGATACTGTATCCGTATAATTTAGACGTTCGTTAAGTGGTTGATTCAAAAACGTCTCATGTGAATTGCCTTCCGAAAAAAAGTTTCGCTGATTTTGTCCCAAACTGAGCAAAAACGATTGACCACACGTTCCTTGCACTAGAACAGTTAAAACTGAAATGAAATAGCATATCGAAAATCAATATTAAAAACTCATGAAAAAAGATGATAACAAAATAAAAATAATGATAAAAAAAGTCTGTATGTATGTATATTATAATGCTTATGCACAATGATATGCATGTTGAGGTGGATTTTAAATTAAAACAAAGAAAAACGGTATCAATGGCTGGGTGGTGAATAAACGCCATTTACGGCAGAGACATAATACTATAATATAAGCATGTGTTAAAATGTAATACAAATTTACAATAATAATATGCTCATTTGAACTACAACTGTGCTGTACTAGTGTCGCAACTGCAGTCTTCTTGTCTCCATCAGGTTTACTATCAGAAACCTACACTTTTTTGTATCTATGCGAAAAAATAGAACGCTTGCAAAGGTTCTTCTGATATAATCGGCTATCGACAATATGACGCAGCCGTTCTGGATTGACGTGTCTGGGTGAACTGTGTCAGCGCGGGCAATGTGTTCAGCTAACTAGTGCTAGTATGTTCCGCACCTGCTTAGCCAGCTCTTTCGTTAGCAAACACGAACAATTTCGTTGTGATAAGAAAGGTAAACATAGCGCGCCCATCACGAATCGCAGCAGATGCAAATTGGCAATGCTTGAGTAGGTACGTACGTACCCAAATATGTAAGTACAGTACATCTGTAGGTTCCGTTAAGTGCGATTCGAAGTTACCGTGTTTAAACTTTGTATACTGCACTAGATTGAAGATTAGTATATAATAACGAACAGATAACGAGCCAAAAGGTATCGAAACAAAAATATTATCCGAATTCAAAGTTATTAGACATGAATCATGTTAACCGCCCGGCTAATGATCAAGAGCCTAACCAAAGCTGGCCTTATATTATATTATACTCAAGAGATAACAACCCTCAACCTGATAAAAAAAAGTCTGTAAAAAGCTGTATAAGTACATATGTATGTTCTAAGGTCTCACCAAATATTTCCACTTAAATTAAGAAAAAAAAAATAATAATGTAAAGCGGGTAAAGCGCAACATTCATAGTAACAACTTTTCTACAAAAGAAAACAACATTAGCAAGATAAATAATTTTAGTAAGTGATGCATGCATTTATAGCTAATAGTATTGACACATTAAAGGCAAATAAAACACTTCAATTTACTACGATTTGCTGAGGGTAATCAGTTGGCTATTTCGTCACAAATAAAATAAGTTGCTCGATACTTGTTATCAAGCTAATTTACGAGTATATTGATTGAGGTAATGGATACTATCTAATGATTCTCTACTATGAAATGCAGTAAGTATAACAGTATTTGGTAATGAAGCAAACGATCCCTTACTGGGATTTTTTTTTAATGGTTCTTTTAAAAATCCACAAATATGCAAATTAGTCGCCGTGATTTCGTGAGAGATTATTGTCAGTTTACAATTATATATTTTATGTGCTAACTTCTTGGAATACAAGATCGAAAACTTGATACCCCAACTGATTTTGACAAATCACTTTATATTCATTACATTTTCAACTGATCATCTTCATATTTTTTAGTTAGTATCAATAACGACGGATATAAGATTGCGCAACCTAAATAGCGGTGACATAATGATTTTTAGAATGAGAGAGCAGTAGATGAAATCTAAACACTCACATTACTTCCTGAACGGGGTTAGGTTTGCTACTTCGCCACGGATTAAGTTTGCCACTATGTTTGTAACATCCTAAAGTATATTTATAAATTATCAGCGTGACAAGCTGAGTCGATATAGACATATCCGTCTGTCTGTCCGTCAGTATATACGCGAACTAGTCCTTCTGTTTGTAAGATATCGATTTGAAAAACAGCAGCTTTCTCATTTGTCGATACCACCGATATCGGACAACTATAGCGTATAGCTGCCATACAAACTGGCCGGTCATATTCAAATCCTTGTATTGAAAACTTTTTTGCTTGACAAGGTATCTTGAAGAAATTTTACATAGATTCTTATCCAAGGCATCGCAACAATCTCCGAACATATTGTTTAGATCAGACTACCAAGGCATATAGCTCCCATTTAAACTGACCGATCAAAATTATGATAAACATCTTTTAATACCCTTTTATGCTATAAGAAATGCACCTATGATGGGGGTATAGCTTCCGCCACCTTTTTTGGTTTTAGTGTTAAAAAACTTTTATTTTATTTAAAATACAATCAACATTATTTTTTTATGTTTTCCGGAAATAACTACCGCGACTGGGTCTTATGAAGATCATCGTATCGATATAACTTTGAACCAAAAATAATGTATGTGGCAGATTAAAATGGCAGTTATCTCTCCAGAAAATTGGAGTATATATTTTTTATTATTATATATGTATGTACAAAATTTATAAATTATATATAATGTTAAATTAATGGGGCACGCTGTCATCCAGACATCAAATTGGATTTTCTTATTAATTTTCTATAAAAAAACATTAGTGTCGAGTGGAAAATTGTTATGGAAATACCTTCGGAATACGATAATATTATTAAAGATAGTATATACACTCGGCAACAATATGAAAGGCACAAAAATTTGAATCTTGTTGGTCAATGAATTATATTTAAAATTTAAAATGAAATTTAAGGCCATATTTTAACTATTTTTTATTTTCTAGCTTCGCAACCGAAGCTACTCTTCACATGTTTAAATTTTCTTACAAGAACTTGATTTTTTCGATCGTTCAGTTTGTAAGGCAGCAATATGCTAAAGTCCGATATCAACAGTTTCGACGTATGAGCAGCTTCTTGGAGGGAAAAAAAGGTGAGAACAATTTCAGATCGATATCTCAAAAACTGAGAGACTAGTTCGCGTATATACCTACAGACGACTCACCTCGTCGTATTTTATAAGTCACAATAGGTCGTGGCATACTTAATATACCCAATTCAACTATACCGAGCATCCAACTGTTAGATACCATACAATACATTTTTTATTCGCTTCAAAATATGGTGGACCCCTTTTTCATTGATATGTGACACTGAGGTAATTTATGAGTTCACGCTGCCCTTACTTTGCACAGAGATTTCGAATATGCAAATTATCATGCACGATTAGTCCAAGCTATTCCTTTGATATCTTTAAAGTTTCGGCTATTCCGATAAATCTTATTTTATGGTCATCCAAGATAATTTTGGAAATTTTTATATTTTCGTCCACTTTAGGACGCCCACTGCCTTCATCCACTTCAATGCTCATACGGTCTTTATGGAATTTAGCAAGCCACTTATGGTACGAATGGTCGCTTCGCCTGGCGCAGAGATGAAATAAAACTCATGGCTTGATTTTGGTATCACCAGAATTTTTATCGTCAAAAATTGGTGTTTCATTAAAACACGAAATACCTTTTTATTCAATTACCAATACTAACATTTCTTGTAAATTCTAGTAGTTTGCTCCCTTTGGATCGATGCGAAGTTTTCAGCGATGCGAAGAGCCTTAAATGAAAATTGGACTATTCAAAACAAATATTTGAGATCAATTTGCGAATCAAGTTTAAGTTAAAGTTGAGAACTTTTAAAACTTTCCTTAAGTTAACGCATATTTACTGAAACACTTACACAAATGTTGATGTCCCCTTGAAAGCTGCGCTAATGATAACTCTCAAGTGATGGAGCTGTCAAGAGCAGTCGAAGATCTAAGAAGTACGTAATTTCTAGAGTTGCACTTAAACTTTAATGTTGGGGTTGTTTACAATTATCAACAGCATACCACTTTCGAGCAATTGTTCATCACATGATCGTTTGACAGTATCTGTTGATGGTGTCAACAAACGGTTGGTTTGGTGCCAACAACTGCCGTTAATTGCCATATAAAATATATGACAAACATGATTTACATACTAGATTATATCGCTTCACATGTAGATATGTATGTATGTATATAACTGACTTTCAACTTATATATGTACTTTTTTTATTATCTCGGTGTGGTACGGCTTGCTCCGTTTCATTTGGTTTGATTGTTTATCTAAGCAATTATCGTTTTACTGGACGAAACATATAAGGAAAATACACATATACATGAATACATAAGGAGAAACATGTAGATTCATAAATAGGTACATACATAAGCACCGAGGAGTTCATAAAGTGTCTGAATTCGTAATTAGCACAATGCAGGTATAATAATAATAATTGCGCCGAATTCCAGTTATACTTAGTAGAAACGCTTAGAACTGTTAGCCGTGCCCGCAGGAGATAGCTCCAAATGCGTCAAATTAATGTTTTCATTTTCCAATTGCCGCACTTAGATACCTAAGTATATAGATAAATATGTACAATATATGGAAACATCTTTGAGAACTGACGAAATTATAAACTGAGTGTACTTTTATAACAAAACAACACTATATATACTCAACTATATTGACATTCAGCTTTACTTTTGATTATTTAAATCGGTATGTGCATATTTGTAAACCATTTCATTCCACAAAGTTTGTTTATAACTCATTGACACTCTTATAAATTTCATTGTCAACATTTTATAAGGAAGTTAATTGTTGATTATTCAAATTACAATCGCCGTAGTACAAATTCATACAAAATACAAAATTGGTGAAGGGAACCAGAGAATAAGGCAAGAGCAATCTCGCGAAAGAATTCAAAAATATTTTTCTAATGCTTCTCGAACGATGCAAAATACCGACTAGAGAGAGCTCAAAATCACAAGACACCCTTTGGTGAGAACAATGTCGGAACATCCAATACTCCCGAAATTCATGAAATTCATGTGACAGAAGTATACGAAGTTTTGGGAAGTTTATTGTAAGTATTTTAAGTTCAAGATCACCAAGACTTATAAGAAATCATCAATAAAAAGTGAAAAAATGAGACTGAACATATTGTAAGCATTCTATTTGGTCGACATAACGTTAAAAACCAAACGCCGGTTATCACTTAGATAACTAGGATCTCATAAAACGGACTTAAAAGTGTTCTTACACAAAATAGGGGTCATTAGAGGAAAGATACATTTCACCTTGGTTTCTCAAACCTTAAATGTACGAAATCTTGCATAATGTGTGCCTTAAATACAAATACTTAAATGCATATATTTAAATTTTTACTAAAGTTATTGCTTGCACGGACAGAGGGACAGATAGACAGATATCCGGAAATCATATAATCTCGTCATCCAGATTATTATATATATCTATCTCCATTATAAAAAAGCAAATTTGTCGATTTTGGATTAACCATTCTAGAGAGCACCTTTGTCCCAATTACATCAGATTGGGAACAAGCTGGGTCTCCGTTGTCCTCTTGCGTTCTAGCGCTGTATATTTAGATGTCGCGTGAGCTTTGCAGGCGTTGGTCAACAACTAACTCCTGTATGACTACCAGATCCTTCTGGTAGAATAACGCAGGAGATCCACTGAAGTACTCTTAACAAGGTTCATCATGCCGTAGTCGTAAGATTTCTTCCTAGACTTTGTCCAACAGACGTACAAGCGGTAAGGCTGTATCGAGGAAGGTGAAGTGGAAATATCCATATATTAGGTACCTCAACAAATTTGTGACAGGCTCTAAATACTATGTTAATTTATAACGGTCTTTTCAACCAACACTTAGTAGAATTTAGGTAACACAATTGAACGTAGATCAAAATTTTAAATAATTCTTTTTTATTCGCCACTATTCCAGATTGTTTTGTGCAGCTATAACAACAATAATGAATATCTCTCTAATAATGCTCATTCGGGATCAGAATATTTGTCGACCTTTTAAAGTTTTTACGATAAACGGCTAAATTTTTCTTTGGAAAAGCCTCTGCTTTCTACGCTTACTCACATTTCTTTAAACATAATGTCTGTATGTTAATTAAAAATTATTTAATATTTCCGTAAAATCATAACATTCGCATGAAAATTGCCGGTTAGCTCATCCTTAGATGCATTACTACTTGGAAATTTCAACCGAAACTACTCTCACACTGCAATCAATTGAAGAAGGTGTAGATATGTATGGAGGCATGTGTAGAGTAGAGCTACATCAATGACACTACAAATATTATATTAGCAAGAGAACTAATTAAAAATTTAATAAAAGTGTCTACTTAGAAAAGTCCTGCTTATCTATATAATGGCACTTATTGCATGTAAATAGCACACGACTTATATTTTTCCGAAAATGAGTAGCGTTTTTGTTATACCCTGAACAGAGTATACTTAGTCTGCCACGAAGTTTCTAACATCCAGAAGGAAATGTTGGAGACCGTATAAAATATATACTTACTATACTTGTACAAATAATCAGTGTTACGAGACGAATATATTTAGCTATGTCCGTCTGTCTGTCTGTCAGTAAATACGCAATCTACATAGTTCCTCCTTTTCTCACCAAGATTCTGTTTATTTTTCGGAACCACCGATACCGAACTACTATAGCGTATAGCTGTCATACAAACTGAACGACCAAGATCAAGTTCTTGTATGGAACATTTTTTTATTTCCCGCGGTATATTCACAAAATTTGACATGCATTATTATTTGTTGCCTACAATAATACAATATGCGATGAAAATATACAGATCGGACCACTATAGCATATAGCTGACATACTAACTGACCAATCAAACTCAAGCTCTAGAAAGAAAACTTGAACCTGTGAAGGTGCAGCCGATGTTAACGTTTTTTCCTGGTTTTAATTTGAACAAGAACATTTACAAAATCATTTTTGTCTAGACTGGGTTAATACAGATAATTAGTTATTTCATTTATTAAGTAATCAACTCAGCCCTTATCGTTCGTTGGGTTGACTGCCCAGATTAAAGGGATTTCACTTTAAGTATATGATGCAATATTAATCACCAAATTAGTGTTATATGTATGATCTTAATGTTAGTATGTATGCCTGTGTACTTAGCCATAAGTAGAAGCTTTGTCTGAATTTGCTGTCGGTTCTTACCTGTGATTAGATTCAGAAGATATTTATGATTATTTTCGGCGTGCGTTGGCATCTTTGCTATTTGTTGTTGTTGTTGTTGTTAATGGTCTAGTTTCAGTTTGTGTAAGCTGCACTTATATTAATCAACTGATGCAGATTACTTCTAGTTTTCGTTACGCTCAAAATGATCACTCGTTCGAACACCGAATCGATCGACGCGCACAACTACACTGCTCGTGATACAAATACAATATAAATTATTTTTAATTACAAAATTATAATTTTTATGTACAATTTAATTTGCTTAATTCATTTGTTAATACTTGGCGCACTCACGCGCAACTCAAAAAGCAAACAAGCTTAAAATATTGGTCATGAGCGACACATGACAATTACAGTGAGCGACTGAAATGCGAATAGTTACAAAACCAGCTGAGAGATCAATACAAAGCGGTAGATCGGTTGGTCATCTCGCGCCGCTAACGATTCATTGCATGCGCGGGAGCTTCGGCAGTGTACAGCGCAACAGTAAAAGGGCAGTTGAGGGGACCTCCCTCAGCCAAGCGTGGCGAACTCAATGCAGTGATGTTTAGGAATTCCTGAAATGTAAACTGAATCACTTGTGAGAAAACCACGGCGGCTCTGACGAAACTTAGCCTTTTCTTTAGAAAAACGTACGAAAAATCCGAGTGACTAATGATGTTTATATATTAGCATACTTTCAAAGATTTTTGAGTCGAAGTTAACACTTTTACATACAAGTACGTGTGCACACGCCTTGAATGGATGCATTAGAATAGAAAATCGCGCTCATTATAAACAGAAAAATTGTTCGCGGCTTGGGATCGATCGGTCAAAGGTGCGTGGCTCAACTGCACACACACACACACACACATGCATATATATATATATATATTATATACATAGCTTAACTGCCGTTTTATAGCTTTTATACAGTAAATTATATATTATATTTATATTATTTGTTGTTGCTTGCAATAGTTATTGGCGATTATAATTTTTTTGTGTTTGTTGCGATCGGTTATAGTCATACGTCTGATTGCTTTATGAACGCATTTGTTCGAGTAAATATTATATGTAAATATCTTGGCACGAGCCTGGATGCAATCCAGCTAAACACCGTGAAATCTTATCATTAGCAACACACTAATGACATGTGTATATCAAACAATATGCATCAGTTCAATTAGCAGAATTATTTATGCATGTGGATATATATATTCATAGTATAGTATATAATAAAAAGAATAATTGTAAAATATGTTAGCAATACAAATTATTTATGAGAGATTTCCAATGTAAATATTTTTTTGCATTATTTACTAGGCACACACACGAGTTCTCCTATCACTTTTTAAATGTGGATGAAAAAAACAATTATTTATATTTTAAATTTAATTATTTGATTTCGCTTAACGTTGCCAATGCACCAATTTTCGTTTGCGCAATTTGCGTAAATTTACCGATATGCTCACACGCGGTCAGCCGAATATCATTTACTTTGCTATTAGCGTACTTGTGGGTACTTTTCTACGACACACCCGCTTTAAGTGGAGTCACGCTTTAGAATGACCAAGCCCGCAACGGCAAGTCGAGCTCAGATGTTCACTCAGCTGTCAGTGGAAGTGGCGATCTCCAAGCAGCACGCAATAGGGTTGTCGGATGTGCAACTAGAAGCAAGCATTTTTGTATGCTTTTAATTCAAGTAAATCAAACTTGTATTTACAAACTCCAAAGACCGTTTCAAATCATTTTGTTTTAAATAATTTTTGTATTATTTGTAAGGATTCATACAATAAAAGAGAATACTATGCTTTGCATTGGTGTGCGAAGCAAAGCAAATAAAAGAAAATCCGTTAACTTCGATAGCACCGAAGCTATAATACCCTTCACAAAACAAAATGTTTTCCAAGCAAGCACTTGATTATAATCGTTCAGTTTGAATGGCAGCTATATGCTATAGTAGTTCGATATTAACGGTTCTGACAAATGAGTAGCTTCTTGGGGAAAAATGGCCCTGTACAAAACCTCAGATCGATACTTTATAAAGTCTCCAACGTTTCATTTCGGGTCTTACAAACATCGTGGTAATATTATATTTAGAAAGAAATATTATGTATTCCCAGCCAAAATGTATACTTACACCGTGCACACTATTTTTGTTCAATTATGAAACAATTCCCGCCAGAAAATAAGTTAAGTGAGTAGTTTAAGAGACAAGAGTTATATTAAATATAATTTCGTTCGCTTTTAATTAAAGAATTTCGAAAGAAACTTTAAATTTCATCAATTTTTATTTAATTCAAATTCGATCACCTTAGTCTGTTAATTACGAGAAGCTGTATATCAGACGTATCGCGTAGTGCATAGTTATTTTTTGCCTTTTGTATGTTTTGTATGGCAGTTACCTTGTTAGGGAACACACTGACACATGTTCGAATACAGTTTATTTGTTTTTTGCTATATTTACACTAGGTTGTTTTATAAAATTCTCAAATATAATTTGAACTTTTGCCTCCCAAGCTAAAGGAACTACAGAAAAAGATTTGACAACTAAGTTTATGTTTTATAGATCAAGTCAGTGGAACAGTGGATTTAGAGACTAATTTAATTTTACTTTGAGTTCGTATTTATTTACAAAATAAAAATGTAATTAATAAAACACTTAAAATCTTTTTTTTCCAAAAAGCGCATTTTAAAACCAGTGAAAAAATTCTCCTAATTTAAGTTTTTATTACTTATTTACCTTAAAGTCTATAGATTATATATTGTAATATTTCAACTTAATTGTAGTTTACCGTTAACTTCCACCAGCTAATTGGCTTGGACTTTCAATAATTTTTGTTCTTTGTTACATTTGTTTTGTACTTTTTAAAAATGCGTTATTTTAGTATATTACTATCATAAAAATCTAGAGCTACCCCAATTCGCTGCAAAGATGTACAAATAAAAACAAGGGTCAGAAAAGATAAAGTTCACCTTTCTTCCCGGCAACGGGAAATTAGCTTACAGCTTAGAGATATGTATATTTTTTATAAGTTTTTGAATAAACATATGAAATCGGCTTTCGAAAGGAAAAATCGCCTCGTTCCTAAGTTAAGTTAGGCCCTATTTCCCATTTCCCTATTTCAGTTTTCCTGGATGGCTGATGGTGCGGGCGATAATTATAGGAAGTATTGAGACGAACTTATTACCACTTCTTGCAAACAACTATTAAGACTGGGGTTCTCTAAGGTTTTACTTACAACATTAATCGGTATTCATTGGTCAATGACCAGTTAAAACCCTTACAACTAGGAAAAACTACCTCACTGAAGGCTAAAAGCAAACTTCTTGCGATGTACCTCAGACTAAAAAATGTATAAATATATATATATTTGGTTGGGTCAAAAAACCAATTTTTTCCGCTTGGTACATCTAGAGTAGATTCTTAGACACCTCTAAGAAAGTCTCTCCAAGTATGAGTTTTCTATTTTTTTTTATTATCGGATAGAAAAGTTCAAATCTCGCTTCCAACTGCTTGAAAAAATATCTCGTTTCATAGATTTTGTAGGAAATTTGAATGCTCTTTTTTCGTAAACCTAACCGCTTAAAAGATATTAAGGGTTAAACATTTTTGTATACTCTTGCAACATGTTGCCACATGTTGTATAATAGTTTTGTTCGCATAACGGTTATTTGTTCATCTAAAACTAATCGAGATATATATAAGGTTATATAAATGATCAGGATGAAGAGACGAGTTGAAATTCGGGTGACTCTCTGTCCGTTCGTCCGTCCGTTCGTCTGTACAAGTTGTAACTTGAATAAAATGTGAGATATCGTAAAGCAGGGTACATGTGTTCCTCTGCCAAAAATGGAGGAGGAGTTCGTAGATGGGCGTAATCGGACTACTGTCACGTCCACAAAACATTATTAAACTAAAACGTATAAAATTTGGCACAAGTGACCGCAGTAGCAAAGGGCACCTGTGAGCTAAAAATTTAAAAAACTCGGCCTGGCCTCGTCCCTAAGACATTTAATGGATGAAATAATAAGTACGCCCACTCCCCATATAACGGTTCTGAAATCATGGGAGAGGGTCCAATAAATGTATCGGGAAAAAACTTTGCACGAATATTGTCTTTAAAATGTGCCAGCTTATGTCCAAAAAATCAAAACAGACTAAAAATTTCCAAGCCCCCAGGAACCGAATATATGGAACTCAGTTCCTATTGTCAAATTTTTATCGAAAAAATTTACATTTAAATTATCTTAATTAAATTGAGATAGCGTATTTTTCCAATAAAGATGTATTTTTGTGCACAAAATAAATAAAATCTGGTGAAAACTTTCTCTAGACCCCATATAAATATTATCAGGATTTTCAAACATCTTGTTGACTTTACTCCATATGATTGGTGATGGTAGGTGAGATACCTTAATGAAACTCAGAATGTCTCTTTTTCTGTTAATAATATGTAGTAATGCCAAAAATATATAAAATTAATATGCTCTGTATAGTAATTTCCCACTTCCCTTTAAACAGTTTAGGTTGGTCAAAATGTGATAAATTTTAGTGAAATTAAGGGGCCTCTTCGATTGAGTTTATGTCAAAGATGTCTTATTTGAGGATGATTTTAATATAATTTTCGCTAGCGCGAAATAAAATATAGTTATAAAACTAATTTAGTCTATAACTTTTAGAAAGACTTCTTAGAGGTGTCCTATTTTTCAGGGTGCCATGCGAAATTGACCCACTCTAATATAAATAAAATATATAAACAAACTACTTTCCAATTAAACTTTTTCTTTATAAAGAATCACCGCTGCCATAAAAATAATTATTTTATATTTGCTATTGAGGACAGTTTCGGCCATATTCTTTAATACCCTAATTATTTCTTCATCATCGCAGTTTTTTGCTGAAAACCGTGAATTTTATTTATAGACATAAGCATATATATTAGAGGGAGTAAACTGATTTGGCTGTTTCCATGAGTCTACAGATCTGTATAGATAGCAAATTACTTAAAATATCAATAAATACTCTCTTATTCACAATAATAATCATTTCCTTATTAAATTTTGTCTGAAAGCATGAGAATTCAAGTACCTTTCGAAATGCTTGAACAAACGCGACACACAACTAATAACAAGCACGGTCATTAACAAGCTGCATGAAGCCGGTAGTATGCGTTACTTTAATTGAACTCATTAATTGAAAAGTTCAAAAACATTATTTTTATACCCCTGAGTACATTGTCGTCAATGGTGATATAACTTTATCATATTGTATATACATATATTAGCGCGTCGATTTCTTGACGGCATTGCTTCTAGAAAATCTTTGAATCATAAGAAAAAATCCTTAAGTGAGAACAAACAAAATTTCATTACTTGCAATCCTGCTTTTAAGTGAGAATTTTCAGGAAATTATAGGACTATAGGCAGAGAACTCAATATTTTATAATACGATTTGGGTCTTAAAGTACATTAAATTGTTTTAAAGAAAAATGCCTCTTCGCAAACATATCCGGAAAAAAACACTTCCTTAGACTTTCAATTAGACATATGCCCTTCGATAATGTAAATAATCTTATTAAAAGGTGCCTTCTGCTTTTTTGTGTAAAAGAATTATCATCATTTATTTCTAATAGATATTGTTATGTTTGAATACTATTACTATTATATTTAATTTAAAAAAATTGCTATTGATGATATTTTTGAGTGTTTCGAAGGATTCGGGGGAATAATGAAGCAATAGTTTTTTAATGCTGTTTTAGATCAGAAATGAGTGTTTCGATACTAAGGTAAGAGCTGCCGGCATAGAAAAGTTTCTTATAAAATCGATAAGTTGTTCGGTGGAGTCACAGAACCCATAGATTCCGCTTTAGTTTTTACTCAATCTTGTACAGCTTGTAATCATAGCCACACACCCATAAGTATTTCCGAAATAAAGTCGAATTTCATGACGCAAAATCTACTTGTACATAGACAAAAATTAATATAATGTTATATTACTCCTCTGCGACAATTTTATCGTTTATGTATAGTTTTTTCTGCATAAGAAATAATTTTAGAACCAACATTTTCAATTTTGATTGAAACAAGAATATAACTCGAGGTAACAGTTTAATAGTTAGTTATACATAACGATTGCAAGTTCTTCACCTTAATTGTAAGCCCCTTCTGGTTATTGCGTTCTAGGGACTTTTAAATAATATTTTGTCAACACAATTGTTTTTACATATACAATACTATATTGCTATATAAATACATTACGCAAGGTGCCTGCGTCCGATCAAGCTGGCTGATAATCCAAAATGTGTAACGTTTTCAGCAACAATCGATTTATTGGTCAGTGCACTCACGTGGACGATAACAAGCATATCTTCTTTTGTTTAATTGTGTTAATGCGAATTTTTATTTATAAACAAGTCCGCAAGCATATGCAAGTATTTTTGACCAGTACCAGTATTTATCATTGACTTTTAAGTTTTCTAAATTAAGCAATGTCAGCAATAAAAAACAAAACAATTATGATGAAATACTAGGGGGTGATATAAATTATATACATACATATGTATGTATGTGTATTTGTATTCCGATACGCATATTTATAATATTAATATATCGAGTTTAATAAAAATTTTCCCAAAGTTACACAGTGTTGATGTTTAGAGGGAAAAAATTCGCGTTCATCTGGTCACTTCCTGCCTTCCTGGACATCTGAAAACAAAAGCCGGTGGTATCTAATGAACTTGTATACTGCTAAAAACATTATTATTTTTGTCTTATCAATAACTCAGTACTTGGTGTGTTCTCTTAAAATGTACAGGACTGATGGCGACAAAATATATAACATATAGTCAAGTCCCGCTTACATCGTTTTCTTAAGATATTTAATAACTTTATATACAAGTATGTACATAGGCGACGCAACCTGCATCACACTATCAAAACTGTATTGGTGAACTGACAAATAAGCAACACACAACCGCTTCCTTCCAATCATATTTTAGATTAATGATGTAGCATCACGTAGACGACATAAACTAATAGCTGCAAAGAAGATAACTATGAGTAAATAACCTGTGAAAATCAGAATAACATCATTCTCAGGATCGATCAGCAATTTGACAAAAATGTGGAATGATGCCAGAATCAAAGCCGTGGAAATATCTTCATATACTAATATTATATATTTTGCCAAACTAAACGGTTTAAAGACATGTGGGAAGTCGGAAATCACTGTATAGAGTATATTGGTGACAGAAAAGGTCCGGGCTGATTGCACAAATTTTTTATATTACTCAGGTATACTCGAGAAAATATTTTTAAGCAATTCTTTAAATATATAACTCACACACTGACCGGCATATTCGGCATAAGGTTTGTTAAAATAACGAAAATCATTAATTGTAGTATATGAGAGTTGAATATTTTTGGTATTAAACTATGGTATATCCAATATTATACGTACAGTTAGTTTTGCTAAGATATCTTACGTTTAGACTTATACCTATATACGGTATAAAGCCAACCGGAAGTTTGAAAATCTTGTATTAGGTGTATGGGAGATAGGCGTAGTATTGACTTGAAATAATCTATTTTGGCATAACTAAATATTATTAACAGAAAAGATGCTCTCTGAGTTCCATTAATGTATCTCTCATACCATCACCAATATATGAGAAGTAAAGACCGGATGTTTGAAAATGCTGATATTAGTTATATGGTTTTCCCACGATTATATCCATTTTAGCCATAGAGATGCACCGTTAAGAGGAAAACATGCTCACTCAATATAATTAAGATAACTCACATATTAAACGACTCCATATGGGCATAAAGTTAGACGGAAGTTCAAAAAACGTTCTATTAAGTAAATGCAGGCTAAGATTCAATCCATTTTTTTGACAAACTATTGTATTATTAGGAAAGGATTCTCTCCTAATTTCAATTATATATCTCACACATTGCCCGATATCTTCGATAAAAAGTCAGCCATAGTCTCTGGGTCCGCATTTCTGGTATCGGGGGGGTTGAATAGTTTTGGTTCGTTTTTGAAAACTTTTTAAGCTGAGATGGCATACCTTAAGGTAAATATTCGTCCAAATTTGTATCCCGATATATTAATTCGTGCTTGATTTGTATATAGAAAGTGAAAAAATCAGATGGAATTTAAAGTTGTGTCACATGATTTTGATTTGATGAATTTTGACACCTGCTCCTATAAAGCCCTCTTGTGCCATCCTGGATATAAAATTTAATGTATCCGATGCATTAAAATATTGAGTAATCGCACGTTTAGTAGTTTTTATCAAAACCGTTATATGGGGAGTGAGCGTGGTTATCAACCGATTTCAGCTTTTTTCATACTTTCGCAGTGTCGAAAAGAATTGTCCTGTGCAAATTTGGGTGATATAGTTTGAACCATTTTGGAGATATATATTTAAATTAAACCTATTAGAGGGCAGGGGCACACCCACTTTTTAAAAATTTTCAAACTACAGGTGTCCCTAGCGACTTTGATTCGTTGTATCAAATTACAGTTTCGTATATTCATTTGTGGCTTAGTTATGGCAATTTATAGGTTTTCGATTAATGGCGTTTTGTGGGCGTGGCAGTGGTTCGACGTCTTGTCCGACGAACTGGTCCTCCTGATTTGACCAAGGAACACCTGTACAAAGTTTTGTGATAATATCTCAATTTTTACTCTAGTTACAGTTTCCACAGACAGACGAACGGACAGACAGTAAACCGGATTTCAACTCATCTCAATAAAATCGTGGTAAATTTATTAGGATATCTTTGCTACTCTATCTTCAGGAGTGTTTATTTCTGACCTATATTTGTAGCTACATTACAGAATTTCCAGTCCACCACAGTAAGTAATAAAGAGTCCATTACTTTAATGCCATTGTTCCAAAGATTTACATTTAGTTTATTTGAGTTTTCGACATTATTCTCATTGTAGGTGATTTTTTCTTTTGCCCCATCTATTATCTCACATATGAATCTTGCTCGGAAAGATCGACAGAATCTTACTGAGCTTAATGTTGGATTTTGTCATACTACCCTTTTACTTTGATCATTGCCGAGATAGCCAATCTCAACAATATTGGCATTTGACTGTTTTCAAATTTTCCTTTATATTGCTTCATATTCCATCCATAACAACCACATTTTGAAATTTAAAGATGACTTCATAATACAACTGAGAAATCCTTAAAACTATTTATGTACTTACTCCTTTGGAACTGAAAAAAAATATGAAGGGTCGAGGACAATTTTATTGTTTATAGTTTACCATCCATTCGACAAGGTAGTGTGGTGGCAATAAAAATTTTACATGACAAGGGCTAACTTCTTTTTAGAAATACTTCTATTTTTTAAATTGAGGTTCTTTTAACGGTAACTGAAAAATCTTAACCTGGAGAACACTCGTAAGATAAAAATAAAATAAAAAAGAAATTGCTATTTTAAAGTACATATTTTCATGTACAAGAATAAAGTCTTACTTCACAATACTAAATCACAGTTAACAGCAACAAATTGATGAAAAAAAGATCACCACGAACAAAACTTTACGATTAAAAATTACTAAATTCCGACGGACCGTACTGAAGCGCTACGCATCTACTAATTAATAAACTATTTATTTAGCTTCAAAAAAATTAATATTAATTAGGAGCTCTCGCAGTTACGTTGATAATATTATAGTATATAAAACTTCTAAATATCTAGACTAAAGAAATAATCCCTTTTTGACACTAAAGACCACTTTTCGCGCCCACTCCACTTAATTTGTTACATAGTCACAAATAAACCGAAAGCAAAGCACCTTCCACCATGCAAGTATTATTAAGGTTTAATAATTAACAGTAATAATTACCATAATTCTGGCATTTACTAGCTGTATGAGGAATGCTTTATGCTACTACAACTACAGCGACCTAAGATTTGCATCAACAAATGCAAAGAAGAGTTGTTTGCAATCCGCTAAATTTATTAAGTTTGTCTTTCTAATTTTTTTATTACCGATTTTTTCTTCTTACATTCAATATAAAATAAATTGTAATGCAGGTAAATTCACACTAACCAAGTGACACAATTTTAACTTCACATTATTACTATTAATTTAATACCAATAAGGTTTTCTTATATTAGTAGAAAATATAGTAAACAATTAGATATTATAACACATATAAATCAAATATGATAAGATTTTAAAATTCGTGTGCATTTAGACAGCTAGAAACTTTATAGACTTAGAACAAGGAACATAGAATGATAAATAGTAAATTAGTCAGTAAGTAAATACAAAATATTCGAAATTTAAAAATAGAATAATATTATTTTAAGGGTAAATAATAAGCATTTAAGGGTTAGTTGACTTTTTTAAGTTGGGATTACATTACATTTTTTCAACACAGCTGCTTTACCAACTGGCTATAATTTGCATTTTGTTTACAGTCATACTTACATATATACATATATATAAATAAAAACTGAGTTTTGAAGACAGTAAGATTCTTTGTACACATTTTAAATTTTCATATTCATATTCGGTTGTTTTATGATACTTAATCAAATTTAATTTACACCAAACGGTGTGGGAAATACTGTTGTTTCGTGTTTTTTAATATTGTAATACATTGTTACGATGGAGGATACATATATTACGAGCTTCTATAAATAAGTATCTTACATGTATGTTGTATATTGTATTGACTTTGTGTTGGTTGACATTGATTTCTAACATTTTATAATTGAATGGTCATATTTTGAGGCAGTTACAATTTTCAATAGATACATCTTATTCGAGTTGGTAAATTGTCAAATGATATCAGTACTAAATGCAGTTGTACAATTTTAACTGTACATCGACGGCACTATAGACATTCATTTGATCGACTTATAACATAACAAAAACAAAAAATTTAAAAGAACAAAAATCATAATAAAATACAAAAAGCTGCTGGCACAAGTTTGACACTTTGGTGTTAATTAATTCACAAAACTGGATCACCCACATTTGATTCATTTGTAAAAAGAGATTCCTTAAACATGTAGATAATAATTGTTTGGCTTGCGTCTAGCAGTAACATTTTTAAATAATTTGACTACAACGCCGACACTACCGCTTATCTTTCTGGAAATAATGATTCATAGCTTGGCGGTAGATCTTTTGGTGATTGTGGTCGATGATGTTGATTGTCTTGTTCGTATCCAATACTCGAAGTAATAGCATCACTAAAAGACGGTACCGTTTGTATCTCAACTGCGGGGGTTTCCTGTAATTAATAATTACTTAATTATGAAGGTATCACACACAATCACACACAGAATCACAAAAGAATGATTACTCATTAAGAACATAAAGTAATTCGTTAAAAGCTTACTACAATATGTACTAACCCTTTGCCCCCTACGATGTGCAGCCGCTGAAGCTTCGTGTGCATGTTGCTGTACTGTTATGCAATTCCAATATTTCCAACAGACCCATATGCAGAAACCAACGCCCAACATTGTAAAAATTAACGAAGTTAGCGCTGAGAGTGCTACATAGGTGGTGTCAGCTTCCACTGAAGTAGGTGCATCATGAAAGCATGATATTTCATCTCGACATGGATACATACAATTTGTTATATTATCGCGCACAAAATGACGGGAAATACACGAGTACTGGTCTTTCGGATCACAAAGAAAATCTCCAGTGTATTTACATTCAGAGTGTGCTGTCATCACCATTCGCAATTCGAGTGGTTCCTTTATCGAAACACGTTTATCAATGTAAATGTGAATATTAACTTCACGATTACGTTCATCAAATATTAACCGACCCGGTCCATCTATTGCTATTTCGTTGCATATCTTTTCCGATGCCGGACGATTACCACCAACAAATTGAATATAATCTATACAGGCATTATTAACAGGATCACGTCGAAATTTAAGACGTGTGATGACAGTGTAAATTCCGCGCGGTGGTCGATGAGGTGTTTGTACGCGAAAATAACAATCGTATTTTAACTTGTTAGACGAGTAATAGCCAGGTAACGTTGTATTCCACACCTGGGTTATGATGGCTGCAGAATCTCGATCTTCAGTTAGAGTAAATGCGGGATGAACATGAAGGGACCTTTGAATATCTACAAAAATTTGTCCGCACATAGATAGTCCTTTAGGATAACTATTTCAAAAGAAATAAATATAAATTGTTTTGGTTTCCAATATTGAAATTTATACTTACTGTTTTTATAGCATTCACATAAACTACAAGCGTTCATGAGCAAAATGGCCCAATAGGGTATTGAAAGATTTGGTTTTGTTTCATGTTGTGCACACATTTACTACACTCAAAGACGTTATAATTATGTTTTCAAATTCTGTTGATACAACATTGTTTTACAAGAGCTATTTATTAATTTTCCCTTGTTTTACTCAGTTTATTTCTTTATAATTCTCATTTATCCTTTCATTGTCAATTGTTGCAATTCAATTTTGTTTTAGACCTTGCTTCTGGTAGTTGCCACGGTGAAATAATATCAATGATGAAGAACTACACTGGTGTTCTTAGAAAAGGCTGAAAACAATACACGAATCTCAATATATTGTTTTTGCGAATAGTTTATGAATATTCTTTACTCTTGCATCAAGTTGCTACAGAGTATAATAGTTTTGTTCACCCAAAGGTTGATTGTATCACCTTAAACTAATCGAGGCACATATATATTGAGTTATGAATTTCCGAATTTCTGTCTCTTCATCCGTCCGTCTGCCCGTGCGTCCATTTGTTCATCCGTACAATCGATAATTTGAGTACAAATTGATATATATTTATGAAACTTGGTACACATGTTCTCTAACAACCAATTGACTTTAATAGCCATATTCGCTCAGTGTAAATATTGTCGCAGTGCAAAATTGGCGTAATCAGACAAAAACTCCTATTTCCTATTCAATTCAATTTTAAATTCCCTCTGATTTTTCACTTTCCAGTATACAGTTCAAGAACCAATCAATGTACCCGGATACAATTTTCCACGAATAGTGCTTTTATGACCAAAAATTGTCCGTCGAAAATTCCCTTGTAAGGCTCTACATATGATCCTCGTACAGCTAATTCACCTTGCAATTGTAAACGTGTTTTTATTACCTGAAAATATAAAGCATCAACAGTTGCTTTAACAGCGTAAAACAGCATAGTTCTGCTAACACAAGTTTGAATCTTTTAGTTTTAGTATCTATTTGCCTTTGAAATAGATGTACATATGTATATATTATACATACATATATAATTTATATAAAAATGCATGACGTATGCTTATATTTACAATGTATTTGCATTTATCTTGCAATCCCTGTCTTCATTTGTATATTGTTGTTGTTGTTGTAACGGCAGAATTCTGCCGAGTTGATAGTCCTTGGCCGGAAAAATCCGGGTCCGTTCGGAAGGGTACATATTTGTATACTTTGAATAAGCAATATAAAAACGCATACGCATATAAACAAAAACGCAAACGCAAAAAATGAATCAACAAAATCAACATTTGTACCTCGAGTGGGTTGGTGAAGCAGATCGCACCCATAGCTGCAAACCTCCAATCATGAAGTCAGAGATATCCATATTTTTATTGTTACAGGGCGTCACTATCAAATAAACTAAATATAATTTTTAAATAAAATCTGAAATAATATTACCCTAATTTGAATCGTCGTAATCAGCCAACCATTATGTATATTTCCTACTATATAATTCCATTAATTGCATCAACATAATGTAGAAGTTATAAGCAACAGCTGTATCTATGAATGTGAAAATTATCAAATAGGTTTATTTCATAACCGCTATCTATCACTAGCTAGCCGAGTTTCTGCTGGAAATGCGTTTCTCAGCCCAAAAATTGCCAGACGAGGACACAAATTGAGAATGTAAGAAGCAGAAAGAACTGCTAGATTCAGCTAGGAAACTAGCTGCGGCTTTTAAACATATAAACGTACGTGTAAACAAGCAATTTTAAACATTTATGTTCTTCCTACGCTAGCTACTCGCAGTGTAAAACAAGCGTAATATGAAAATCAGTAAATGACAAATAATAGTTAGGCAGGCAATTGATAATAAATGAATTATCTTTGTGTAGAACAAATATGTGTGCACATTACAATTAAAATGAAAATATATCCAATATAAATTAGTACATTTATTTAAGTATAATAAATAGTTATTTTATAACAGTGCACACTCTCATAAGCCACATATTTAAAAGTTTATGTAGACCAATATAATTTAATTTCTATAAAATTATATAGACAATTCAAGCTAATTAGCGTTAGTTAGAAATTACCCTGTCCGAAACGGATTGATCGTGTTTGTTGCGATAATGTAAACAAATAATTTTGGATCTACGAAAAATATTTTGCCGGATATACAACCGGCTTCTTTCTAGTTATATACATACATATGTATGTAGATTGGACTATAGCTGTAACGGTGCTCTGTGATATTATATGAAATGATATATTTTCATCAAAAATACCTTATTTGGTCGATGTGTTTGTTCATCCACTAATATTTTAACTTAATCGAGGTATACTTATGTAGGAAATCTTCGGCCCAATTTGACATAGTTTTAGTAAATTACAATCTACCCACAGGAGTTGGAGTTTGGGCTCTGCCTCTGCCTTCAAATACTGCGTGATAGGAATGTGGTTAATTTCCAGAAAGTCTTCCGTAGAGTTTTAGGTCCAAATCCTGCAAGCATTTTTATTACCTATATATAAAATCTTGCAACTTCTAGCCATTCCTTATAAACACATTTTCAAGTGTAGTTGCCATTATGAAGATTAGAGAACATATTTTAGAATTTATACATGTCCTCAACAATCAAGAATCTTCAAGAACTTCATACTAGCTTATCAACATACGAGGGCGCTCCGATATTGGCTTAGCCTCACCCACGAAAGCGCCACTATCCCAACAGTAATAATTTATGGTGTGTTACATTCTCGTAGACGATTACTGTAAAATTTCATTCTAATCAGACTCGAAGTGAAGAGTTAGTTTCGCGTCTGAGATTCAACTCTTATTTTCGGAAACGAGATTACTCAACGAAATCAAAGAAGTGACTTTCAAAATTGGAGAAACGAGTTTCAATTTGATCGCACATAGGTTTTGTAAAGCCACTCCTGGACTCGCCATTTGGCGAAGGAAAATTGGTCAAAAAGAGTACGAACTGCCATCGACTGTACTATCCAGATTTGGCTCCGTGTGACTTTACTTTGTTTCTAAACATTTCAAATCACTCGACGGCAAAAATTTGAACCAAATTAGGAGGGTATCGACCAATGGAGGCAAAAAGTTGTTGAATTGAAGCATAATAAATATAATACGCTACGTTTTTGTTATTGTAATAAGGTGAGAAAAATTTAACTTCCAGTGGGAAACATACGACTAGAGCTGATTCTATAATTCGATAGTTCTTAACTGTCGATATAAGTTTATAAGAATTTTGTTTTGTAGATATTATTCGGTTGGGTAATCGTAAACTTTTTATTGAAATTGTATATTTCCTTTATAATTCTACACAGTTACAAAAAATTATATAGCATTTCCAACAGTTGAAAATAGATGCTACAACCTATTTTTTAGCGCTGAGAGTGCTACATAGGTGGTGTCAGCTTCCACTGAAGTAGGTGCATCATGAAAGCATGATATTTCATCTCGACATGGATACATACAATTTGTTATATTATCGCGCACAAAATGACGGGAAATACACGAGTACTGGTCTTTCGGATCACAAAGAAAATCTCCAGTGTATTTACATTCAGAGTGTGCTGTCATCACCATTCGCAATTCGAGTGGTTCCTTTATCGAAACACGTTTATCAATGTAAATGTGAATATTAACTTCACGATTACGTTCATCAAATATTAACCGACCCGGTCCATCTATTGCTATTTCGTTGCATATCTTTTCCGATGCCGGACGATTACCACCAACAAATTGAATATAATCTATACAGGCATTATTAACAGGATCACGTCGAAATTTAAGACGTGTGATGACAGTGTAAATTCCGCGCGGTGGTCGATGAGGTGTTTGTACGCGAAAATAACAATCGTATTTTAACTTGTTAGACGAGTAATAGCCAGGTAACGTTGTATTCCACACCTGGGTTATGATGGCTGCAGAATCTCGATCTTCAGTTAGAGTAAATGCGGGATGAACATGAAGGGACCTTTGAATATCTAACAAAAATTTGTCCGCACATAGATAGTCCTTTAGGATAACTATTTCAAAAAGAAATAAATATAAATTGTTTTGGTTTCCAATATTGAAATTTATACTTACTGTTTTTATAGCATTCACATAAACTACAAGCGTTCATGAGCAAAATGGCCCAATAGGGTATTGAAAGATTTGGTTTTGTTTTCATGTTGTGCACACATTTACTACACTCAAAGACGTTATAATTATGTTTTCAAATTCTGTTGATACAACATTGTTTTACAAGAGCTATTTATTAATTTTCCCTTGTTTTACTCAGTTTATTTCTTTATAATTCTCATTTATCCTTTCATTGTCATATGTTGCAATTCAATTTTGTTTTAGACACTTGCTTCTGGTAGTTGCCACGGTGAAATAATATCAATGATGAAGAACTACACTGGTGTTCTTAGAAAAGGCTGAGAAAACAATACACGAATCTCAATTATATTGTTTTTGCGAATAGTTTATGAATATTCTTTACTCTTGCATCAAGTTGCTACAGAGTATAATAGTTTTGTTCACCCAAAGGTTGATTGTATCACCTTAAACTAATCGAGGCACATATATATTGAGTTATGAATTTCCGAATTTCTGTCTCTTCATCCGTCCGTCTGCCCGTGCGTCCATTTGTTCATCCGTACAATCGATAATTTGAGTACAAATTGATATATATTTATGAAACTTGGTACACATGTTCTCTAACAACCAATTGACTTTAATAGCCATATTCGCTCAGTGTAAATATTGTCGCAGTGCAAAAATTGGCGTAATCAGACAAAAAAACTCCTATTTCCTATTCAATTCAATTTTAAATTCCCTCTGATTTTTCACTTTCCAGTATACAGTTCAAGAACCAATCAATGTACCCGGATACAATTTTCCACGAATAGTGCTTTTATGACCAAAAATTGTCCAGATCGAACCAAAACTATTCAATCCCCAGTTTTTATTGTGAAATTTTTACCGAAAATATTGGTCAACATTTCAGATATTTTTTATTGAAATTTGGAAAGAATTTATTCGGACATTGCGAGATTATACCCTTCCTTACTTGTTCTATATCAGACTGACTATTATGTTATCGTGGCAAACATAACATTTTTTTTTGGAATCCATCTCTACACATGATTAAATAATATAAGGTTGTTACGATAACCCAAAAACAACAATTTGTCAAAATTGTTTTAATTCTTAATGTCGATGTTAGCCGTTTTTTTGTGTTTTTATGTTCCAAAATAAATAAAAATTTCAAAGATTGTTACCAATGAAAATATGGTTTTTGATTGATAACTGAAGACGAATAGAGTGTACATCATACAAATTCATCAAAATTTAAACAGTAAATTTATGAGAAAAACAGAAAAAAAATTTTGACAATATGGATTAAAAAAAATTTTGCGTAACAGGAAGCACGTTCCAGCGGTTAAATTGCCGACCGCGCTATCAGAGATTTTACTCAAAGATTCTATGAGTTTCTTAGGGCCTAATTGACAATTCTAACCGAAACTAACGGATACCGAGCACATAATGTCAAAACCAGATAAATTGCTTTGCTTTTATTATGACTAATAATGCGTTTTTGACTTGTAACTGAATACGAATAGGTTAGAGATCATCAAAATGTAAACAAGAAATTCATAAGAAAAACAAAAAAAGTGTATACGACTTATGCTTTAAATAATATGTTCGTGAGAAGAAGTACTCCATTAAGTAACACCAAATCTAATTGAATCGAGCTTATATATTATTTGGACAAACACAACTTTGCCTAGTCTTTGCAGGTGTTTACTTAAAAATTTATAGAAAGGAACGTCCTGGCAGCACTTTTGTTCCGTCATTTGCTTCATTTCCAAAACGTCACTTTTTGTTTACGTTCCTATTCGTAATTGAAGGATTGTTAAAAAAAAAGTTTGCCAGTTTTTGCTCGTTTGAACAATTGTTACAAAGCAAGGAAAAATATTAAATATCCAATAAAATAAAGTAATATATTTATTAAAAGGTGAATAATATAATTTGATTTTACTATTGTTGTTAACCTATTTTTCATTTAAATAGATTCATCTTACTGGTGTACACTTGTTATACATTCTTATAGTTTAGTTTCTGGACTTCTCCTCATTCTTTGAAGGAATATACACACAATAATGACTGAGGCAAAAAAGAACGCACTTACAGCTGCTTATCGTGCACATAAATCTCTGCAATTGGAATTGACCGACTTTGAGGATAATACAGCATTTGCTGCACACTTGGTAGAACAATTACGGCGTCTGCCCACCGACAGCCGTGTTAATGCTATGGCCGGCATATTGGCAATACTGAATCGCTTTGTACGTGTACAAGGGGAAACTCAGTAAGCAATTCGCATGGAGATTTGTTTCGTTAGTTCATCGTCCGCACACTGCGTGCCTATAAGGATAACTGATGAGGACGGTGACGGCGAAACTGAAATATGTTAAGGGAAATGTGTTGCTAAAAGCATCGACTTTTTGAGGTGTTCCTAATGTGCGGTTATATATTTTGTTGTGTGTCCTGTTTTCTTGTAAGGAAGGCAATGACATGTGCTACCAATTTTCTTTTATAGAACTCTATTGAAAGTGTGACATCGATGTTCGAGTTATGGAGGAGTATAATCTAATAGTTAGCATGATTTTCCGATTCATCACAAACATTCATACATATATTTTTGTTACATTAAAACACATCGAAAACACTGTAATAAGTATTTAATTTAATATATAGAATATATCAATAATTTTGCAAAATAATATGATTTAAATAATCAAATCAATTGCGTTTTGTTTAACATTGTCACTGAATGCTTTAGCTAGTTTGATATTTGTCTCTAGCCGAGATAAGTAAATCAAAAAACAATAATACAAGTGTTGAATGTGGGGCCTGTCTCAAATAGTTGGCCCAAAATCCTTTATATAGGCCTTGTACTCCCTCGAATCTGAATACTTTGTGGGCACAGTCCCACCACCCTTTATAAAATATACCTTTACCGAATGAGTCAGTGCCTTGATTATACAGCCTTGTTGAAATTACATCAGGTGGTGTAATCGCCAAAGCCACCACACTGCCCGCTCCAAATGCAGCTATTAATGTATTCAGAATGGGTTGCGTGACAATTTCATACTCCCGCAGCATTGATTTTGTTTTGCCAAAAGTTGCAATTTGCGTGCTTGATCCGATCGCAACTCGGGGCAACATTCCGGTGGCGCCACGCCATAGACCAAAAAACCCACTTTCTTTTACAATGTTTTGAAATGCATTTATAATCCCAGTATGTTTGTGTTGGTAACCAACAACAATTTTGCTATTAGAGCGGGCTTGTAATTGAATTTTCACCTGCAATTATAAACAATAAAAATCAAGTTGTTTAATACCAAGCTATGTGCGTAAATATTTACGGGTTACAAACCATATAAAATGGACTTGCACAAAATGAGCCAGTAATACCACCGGCGGCACCCCATAGCATACCGCGAAAAAAGGAAACATCACCATTTCTATTATGAATCCATTTGTTATTCATAGCAGTTTTGTATACACCTAATCTAGGGAAAGTTGAGTTTTTATTGTGATGCTGCTGGTTAAAATATTTAACGAGTTGCGTGATATCATTTGCGATAAAAACTCACCGAACTGAATTTAATATGAACTGGAAATTTAACGCGGGCACAAGCCCTTTCTCTAAAGCAGACCAACCATCACATCTTATCACAGTGATTAGAGCGTCGAAAATTCCCTTGTAAGGCTCTACATATGATCCTCGTACAGCTAATTCACCTTGCAATTGTAAACGTGTTTTTATTACCTGAAAATATAAAGCATCAACAGTTGCTTTAACAGCGTAAAAACAGCATAGTTCTGCTAACACCAGTTTTGAATCTTTTAGTTTTAGTATCTATTTGCCTTTGAAATAGATGTACATATGTATATATTATACATACATATATAAAATTTATATAAAAAATGCATGACGTATGCTTATATTTACAATGTATTTGCATTTATCTTGCAATCCCTGTCTTCATTTGTATATTGTTGTTGTTGTTGTAACGGCAGAATTCTGCCGAGTTGATAGTCCTTGGCCGGAAAAAAATCCGGGTCCGTTCGGAAGGGTACATATTTGTATACTTTGAATAAGCAAATATAAAAACGCATACGCATATACAACAAAAACGCAAACGCAAAAAAATGAATCAACAAAAATCAACATTTGTACCTCGAGTGGGTTGGTGAAGCAGATCGCACCCATAGCTGCAAAACCTCCAATCATGAAGTCAGAGATATCCATATTTTTTATTGTTACAGGGCGTCACTATCAAATAAACTAAATATAATTTTTTTTTAAATAAAATCTGAAATAATATTACCCTAATTTGAATCGTCGTAATCAGCCAACCATTATGTATATTTACCTACTATATAATTCCATTAATTGCAATCAACATAATGTAGAAGTTATAAGCAACAGCTGTTATCTATGAATGTGAAAATTATCAAATAGGTTTATTTCATAACCGCTATCTATCACTAGCTAGCCGAGTTTCTGCTGGAAATGCGTTTCTCAGCCCAAAAAATTGCCAGACGAGGACACAAATTGAGAATGTAAGAAGCAGAAAGAACTGCTAGATTCAGCTAGGAGCAACTAGCTGCGGCTTTTAAACATAAACAAACGTACGTGTAAACAAGCAATTTTAAACATTTATGTTCTTCCTACAGCTAGCTACTCGCAGCTGTAAAACAAGCGTAATATGAAAATCAGTAAATGACAAATAATAGTTAGGCAGGCAATTGATAATAAATGAATTATCTTTGTGTAGAACAAATATGTGTGCACATTACAATTAAAATGAAAATATATCCAATATAAATTAGTACATTTATTTAAGTATAATAAATAGTTATTTTATAACAAGTGCACACTCTCATAAGCCACATATTTAAAAGTTTATGTAGACCAATATAATTTAATTTCTATAAAAATTATATAGACAATTCAAGCTAATTAGCGTTAGTTAGAAATTACCCTGTCCGAAACGGATTGATCGTGTTTGTTGCGATAATGTAAAACAATAATTTTGGATCTACCGAAAAAAAATATTTTGCCGGATATACAACCGGCTTCTTTCTAGTTATATACATACATATGTATGTAGATTGGACTATAGCTGTAACGGTGCTCTGTGATATTATATGAAAATGATATATTTTTCATCAAAAAATACCTTATTTGGTCGATGTGTTTGTTCATCCACTAATATTTTAACTTAATCGAGGTATACTTATGTAGGAAATCTTCGGCCCAATTTGACATAGTTTTAGTAAATTACAATCTACCCACAGGAGTTGGAGTTTGGGCTCTGCCTCTGCCTTCAAATACTGCGTGATAGGAATGTGGTTAAATTTCCAGAGAAAGTCTTCCGTAGAGAGTTTTAGGTCCAAATCCTGCAAGCATTTTTTAATTACCTATATATAAAATCTTGCAACTTCTAGCCATTCCTTATAAACACATTTTCAAGTGTAGTTGCCATTATGAAGATTAGAGAACATATTTTAGAATTTATAACATGTCCTCAACAATCAAGAATCTTCAAGAACTTCATACTAGCTTATCAACATACGAGGGCGCTCCGATATTGGCTTAGCCTCACCCACCGAAAGCGCCACTATCCCAACAGTAATAATTTATGGTGTGGTACATTCTCGTAGACGATTACTGTAAAATTTCATTCTAATCAGACTCGAAGTGAAAGAGTTAGTTTCCGCGGTCTGAGATTCAACTCTTATTTTCGGAAACGAGATTACTCAACGAAATCAAAGAAAGTGACTTTCAAAAATTGGAGAAACGAGTTTCAATTTGATCGCACATAGGTTTTTGTAAAGCCACTCCTGGACTCGCCATTTGGCGAAGGAAAAAATTGGTCAAAAAAGAGTACGAACTGCCATCGACTGTACTATCCAGATTTGGCTCCGTGTGACTTTACTTTGTTTCTAAACATTTCAAAATCACTCGACGGGCAAAAATTTGAACCAAATTAGGAGGGTATCGACACAATGGAGGCAAAAAAAGTTGTTGAATTGAAGCATAATAAATATAATACGCTACGTTTTTGTTATTGTAATAAGGTGAGAAAAATTTAACTTCCAGTGGGAAACATACGACTAGAGCTGATTCTATAATTCGATAGTTCTTAACTGTCGATATAAGTTTATAAGAATTTTGTTTTGTAGATATTATTCGGTTGGGTAATCGTAAACTTTTTATTGAAATTGTATATTTCCTTTATAATTTTACACAGTTACAAAAAATTATATAGCATTTCCAACAGTTGAAAATAGATGCTACAACCTATTTTTTAGAGCAATTAGTTCATCGAAAAACAGCAAAACCAATATTGATTGCGGGGTCAATCGTATGTAAGTCGTCCAGAAGCCTTTATATAGTCCCAAAATACCCTCCTTTCGTAGAATTTTTGAAGCACAATCCAACCACCCGTTATAGAATAAGCCTCTACCATGTGCATCCACACCCTGATTATAGAGACGTGTTGCAATTACATCTGGCGGTGTAATGGTCATTGAAACTACCACGCCAGCTAAGAAACCTCCACACACTGTATTCAATGAAGGTTGTACCACTAAATTGTGCTCACGCAGCAATGCCTTCATCTCGGCAAAGGTCGCAATTTGTGCGCCCGAACCAACTGTAACACGCGGTATGGAGGCGAAGGAACCACGCCATAATCCGGCAATCCCATTCTTCACATAAATCTTTCGCATGGCATTGAACATACCAGTGTGGTGATGTTGATAGCCAACGGCCAGTTTTGAAGGAGCTTCCGACTGCATTTGTGTCTTTATCTGCCAATATTCAGTTGTTTGTCATGAAAAGAAAGTGTCAGATGATTATCGTATTTATGGTATGTACTTGTATGTAATATGGAATACAAGCTTCAACAAAAAAAAAAATATATGGGTTAACAAACCATGAAAAATGGACTTGAAAGGTAGGCTCCCACAGCTCCAGCCGATATGGCTAATAACAGGTTCTTGCCAAAGGATTCTCCACCGCTTTCATTGCTAGTCCACTGATTTCGAACAGCTGTGTGGTAAAAGCCCAGCCTGTAAGTAATGTTAATATTTGTGATGCCACTGTATTTAACTGATACTACCGTATTGAATTCAAAATAAACTGAAAATACGTTGCTGGCACGAGTCCTTTTTGCAACCCAGTCCAACCTTCGTTTTTAAAAATCGTCACGAGCGCATGCATAGTGTTCTTGTAGGGGACGGCATAGGTACCGGGCGCCGCTAATTCGCCCTGTAGTTGCATGCGTATCTTAACAACCTGTGAAATTGCTTTTAGCTTTGAATACAGTTTAATATTTGAAAAACGTTAATCCTTTTCACCTCTAGTGGATGGGTAAAGCATACGGCGCCTACAGAAGCAACACCGCCAGCTACAAAATACGTCGGACTCATAATGAATATCAATTTGCTATATAAAGAAAGAAAGTACGCTTTGGGTTTTTATCAATTTTAGTATATTTTTTCGATATCAATAGCTGACCAGAACTTGTATTTGATAATTTGTCACTTTTAAACTCGGATCGCAACGAGCTACGTTTTTATTCAGCAACAACTATACACTGAATTGTTGAAAATTAGTTTATTTTGCCAGAGTTAACGTCGGCTCTGTACAATTTTACTTTCCGCCAATCTTATCTATGGCAGTCATAATGTACGGATGCAATAAAGCGGGAGAGAAATTTTAATAAACCGAAGATATATTTAATCGTTATATTAACATTGGTAAGAAGAAAATTAACATTTTGTTCAACATGGCGTATGAGTAACATTATGTTCTTAACATGAGTTCGTATGGTATTCTTTGCAGCAGATGCAGTTTAGAAGCTGAAATCTGAGAATAACAAAAAAGGAAAAATATAATTCGACACGCTGTAAAACAGCTTTCTTTTATTTTTTGATTTTTCAATGATTATTCAAAGGCACATTTTGGCAGTAGTCATAAAGGAACAATACTTGTAGATGCTCTTAAAAATTAATAACAGTTATACCATTTTAACGGCTGGAAATTATTACATTTTTGGAATGGGACCTCAGAAAATCAATGACCACTATTTTTATATATAGGTAATCAATTATACCAAGCTTATTATATAGCGGAGAGACTCCATACTCAGTCTTTAAACCTTCCATAAAGGGTTCAATCACTCTACAAAGATCAACGAATTTCAATTCTAATTTATTTCACAAAACGTCATTATTTTTACTAAATATACATATGTATATACATATGCACATATTAATATATTATACTAAGTGTCCTCTAATGTTTTATTTTAACAACTCGAAATCAGTTATAGGATAACCTGGTGTGTTTTTGGTTACATACATATGTTCATTAGATATGGAAATTACATATCCTAGAAAAATTCATGGTTTTGTGTCGGTTACTTACTGGTTTAAGTTAACCGGATTATTTAGTTACAAAGAGTGTCTGTGACGCTGTATACATAAAGTGTTTAAATATAGGAATAATAATATAAACCAAACAATGAGAAAAAGGTCGATATCTTTATATGTATAAGGTTATTGTAAAAAGTATAGGTATTTTAGGTATTTATATATTTGTTGGGCAATTGAAGAAAAAAATTTTAATTTTTTCCCAAATCTACTGAATATTTCTGAAATAAGTAATATTGTAAGATTCTTACGGTTTCTCTAGATACTCCTTTTTAAATCGTACTTACTAAATATCAAGCCAATTAGCAATGAATTGTCGCAAAGTCGGAAACAAGCTATTATGAAGCAATATACAATGATTTTTAAGACTCTTAAATAGAAAAAAAAACGCTGCACTCAAGATCTAAAGGCGGTTTTATATTGTTACACTCTCGCAACCTGTTGCTACAGAGTATAAGAGTTTTGTTCACCTAACGGTTGTTTGTATCACCTAAAACTAATCGAGTTAGACATAGGCTTATATATATAAAAATGAGGATGAAGAGACGAGTTGAAATCCTGGTGACTGTCTGTCCGTCCTTCCGTCCATCCGTCTGTGCAAGATGTAACTTAAGTAAAAATTGAGATATCTTTATGAATATGTGTATCAACATGTTTCTTGGTACCGTAAGACGGTTGGTATTGCAGATGGGAGTAATCGGACCACTGCCACGCCCACAAAACGCCATTAATCAAAAACAAATAAATTGCCATAACTACGGCTGATATTTGGTATACAGGATTACATTAGGGAGGGGCATCTGCAGTTAATTTTTATTTTTAGCATCTCCATCGACCTTGTGAAAATGGATGAAATTGGGTGACAAGCCCGCCCACTCCCCATATAACGGTACCAATTAAGGGAAATATGTAACACACATTTTCATAAACTTTACTGGAAAACACTATTTTTGTCACACGAACGTTGTGGTGATTTTTGTTTATGTGGATGTACTCTCATTAACAATATATAATAATTTTGTTTCAATCACAACTAGTGACAGCTACATATTCATTTGTAACCTCATATACGTGTCTCTTTTTAAATGACTTCATTTATTCGACTGTATAACTATTGCATTCGACTAACTTACATCATATACCTATACGTTTGTTACATCGTAAACATGGCACGAAAATGTTCTAACAATTCCGACAGTTTTTGTTTTGTGGGTGTAGAATTAACTTTTAAATCTCTGTGCCGTAATTTCACGTCATTAATTGAACAGACTATTTCAGATTTTCTGTGAGAAATTAAAACAAGTCCTGGGTTCCACATAATTGTTGTGTAACGTGTGTGAGGCTAAACAAGAACCCAGATATATGCCATTTTCTATACCAACGATTTGGACCGAACCAATAGATCATGTAAGTGATTGTATTTTTTGTGAACGTTGTCCAGATTTTTATAGGAAAACCAAATAAATGAATTTATAATGTCATATAAAGCTTTGAGGTGTAATACAAGGTGCGTTCCAAAGTAAACAGTAAAAAAGTAACAAAGTAACAAAGTAAAGTGGCGCCAACTATATGTCGACTAGTGCGTTGGAATCTGCTATCCTTTATCGACTTTCAGTAAAAATTTCATGACATTTCATCTATTGGAAGTGACGTTATTGCGTTTTAAGTGTCAGTATGTTTTTGTCATCGGTGCGAAAATGAGCTTCGAACAAAGAGCCAACATTAAATTTTGCTTTAAAATTGTTAAAACTTTTACCGAAACCAGAGAATGTTAATTATATATATATAAAAAATTTATTAACATTCTCTGCTAGAGGAAGTATATGCCAATAGTAGAGAATTAATAAATAGAGAAGGCGCAAATGTTAGCTGTGCTAAAATGTAAGTTATTAAAAGGAAACATCGAAAATGCGCAAATTCGAAAATTAAATTACACCACGTCAAAAAGAAACCCCCCCCTTTTTATAAGCGAACTCAACAAAATACACCACTCTAAGAAGGTACCAAGCAAATTTTCACCACCTTATAAAGGAACGCCTAATATATATATGTATGCGCAGATGTTCTTTGGAATAACAAAAAGAAATAATACATTTTGAAAAACATTTATATAATGAGGGAAAAATTAAAATTAAGATAAAATAAGTAAAATATAGTTATAAAACTAATTTAATCTATGACCAATAATATAAGTTAATAAGGTAAAAATTTGATTGTAAACCATTCAGTTTCGTCAAACATTTTTGTACTCTTGAAAGATGTTGCCACAGAGTATAATAGTTTTGTCTGTCCGTGTAAGCGATAACTTGAGTAAAAATTAAGATCTCTTGATGAAACTTGGTACACATAGTCCTTGGCACCCAAGGGAGGTTGGTATTGCAAATGCGCGGAATTGGAGCCCACAAAATGCCATTAAACGAAAACTTTTAAAGTGCCATAACTAAGCCGCAAATTAATATGCAAATCCTATATCTCAGGAACTATTCGACCGATTTCAACCAAATTTGGTGTTTGAGATTACCCAATTCCTATTAGACACTGCACAAATGGGTGAAACCCAAAAATCTTTTGGTATTACGAACTTCAACTAGTTTCAGTCGAAATTCATTGATGCTGCCAAACTTAAAAAGTGAGGATTTGACAGATATATGTGCTAATCACTTAAAATCTTTTAAATAGAAAATTAACGGAAAAAGTTATTACTCACGAAAGGGAAACTGGACATTAGTTTTGATTTCTATTATGATGGCGAAAATGTTGGAGCATAAACTAATGTGTTGCGCATATGAAAATGCCTTCGGGATCATTAAAATCTGTTGGTACAGTATAATCTCGATATTCCAATTGTAAACCAAGCAGTATCCGAAATATTGAAATGTCCGGATTACCGAAATGTGGAAAAAAACTCGGAAAACAACTTCTAAATAAAAATAGACTATTTCATTTCACTTCAAAATTTTATTTTATACATTTTATGAATAATTTTAATTTTTTTCAAAGAAATTTGTAATCTTTTTTTGACGAAGTTTTTTCTCATTTTTCTTTTTGTATGCAACATATCTTAGGTTTACAAGTTTCAAAGTTTCACGAACGAGAATTTACAGCTCTTTAGCGTATTTAACAAGTGTTAAACGCTTTCTTGTTCATTTTTATCTTGGCTGCTCCTGACGAATCGACTTCTTCAATCTGATCATCGTGTCGTTATTTAGCCACTCATCAATTTCATCATCAAAATAAATATCCGGGGATATTTGGACTAGTAGATCAGTTAGACTAGGTTAGGTTAGGAGGTCGATCCTATGAAGGATCACATTTAGACAGCTGAAACGCCGGTTCGTTGTGGTACCTAAAAACTAAGGCTGGATCAAAAGACCCTTATATGTCGAAAAAGCGCTTTGTGTCTATGAAAAACTTGTTGAGATGGCCAATATCAGTTGCGGCCAAATCTTGTGGTCCGCCGAAAGGGTAATTGACGAGAAGTTTCAGTCTCAGCCTTGCAAAAGCCGGACAGTGGAGAAGAAAGTGCCTGGACGTTTCCACCTCACCCTATTCCATACAACTTTGCCAACTAGCATCGGGTGGTATTTTAAGCCGTACCACTTGAGTGCCCATTGGACCGTGTGCAGTGAAAACTTCTACAATAGCAGCGAGATGAACTTTGTTCAAGGCGAGAAGTTCCCCAGACCTCCTGCGCTCCACTCTCGTTCAGAAGGATCCCGCGATCGCACAGGAGTTGGTCGCGAACCAGCAATTGCTGAGTCCCTGCGAGGTCCAATGGTCCAGAGCTTGAACGAAAGACGTAAATGGAGACCCAATTCGATCCCATTCCGATGTGAGCGGGGCAATGGTGCCCCCTTTGGAATAGCTCATCGGCTTTGCAGTTGCCAGCGATTCCGCTCTGACCAATTCCCACAACAGCCGGTTCTTCGTTACCGGAATTGACCCGGATTTTATCCGGCCAAGGGCTGTTATTTCGGCGATCTAACCCTGTTTGGATCGGTAAATGTTAGTTTAAGTTTGTCGTCATTAGAGCAACACCTAGCAGCAGGGTTGCTTCGTATCCTCTTGATTCGTGCTGGCATCGAGTCCAACCCGGGTCCCGAGGAATTCTTTTGCTGTATATGCACTAAAAGGCTCATCCAAACTCCACCTCGGTTAGGTGCAATACATGCAATGGATGGAGCCATCTTACGACCTGCTTAGGCCTTAAGACCAAGTGGACCACAAGTTACGTGACCCCATGCTGCCAACGCAATACTGCGACACCAGCCTTAACGGCTGTGCAATCTGCACCATGTTCGCGCACTGCGCCGCCACTCCAGTCGAGTGTCCAAGAAAGGACTTCTACGGCCCTAACGAACTCTAGGCAGCATGACTCCCAGTCTGACCAATCTCTACCTTTACCTTCATCCCGCTCCAATCCCCGTGCGAGAACCACTCAGCAACTCCTGGTTCCTCGCACAGTCTGTTCCGTGTGTCAGTCTGTAATACGCCGGAACGTCACATCCGTCAAGTGCAATTCCTGCACTGGCTGGTGTCACTTTCTGTCGTATTCCGGCCTGCGCACCACACGTGAGTGGAGTGCGTCATATGTTGCCCCATTCTGTAGGAGTCTGCCCCCGCAATCCCATCAAGTAGCGACTCCAAATAAAACCACAGTGCGACAACCTCTCATGCGGAGATTACAGCTGCAACAACCACCACCTACACGTACCTCCCTCACCCCCAGGATCCCAACTGAACACCCGCGACAAACGCGAATTCTACAATTCAACATCAACGGACTCCAGAGTAAGATCGAGGAGGTGACTTTAACGCGCACCACGATCTTTGGCACTCCTGCATGTCAAACGATCGTAGGGGGATGGAGCTGGCGGAACAGATTGACGATTCGACATTCTGCATAATGAATAACGAAGCCCCTACCAGAATTATGGGCACCTGTAATAGCTCGCCCGATATTACCATCGCTAGCGGTGGTCTGATAAATAGCATAACCTGGCGACCTATGCTAACTCTCGCATCAGATAATTTCTCCATAATTATACCGATCGAGAAACCTCCTGACTTTTTTCTGTGAACCGCAGCTTTGTTAACTTCAACAAAGCTAACTGGATCGGCTTCACAGAATTTACTGAGAGCACCTTCAACGCACTACCCATTCCTACGAATCGTGAACTCCGCCCTAATTTTCCAGCCGAAGCAGCTGTATTAGCGCGACACATTACAACATGCCGATCCCTGAGATCCCCGAATAAGAAATCTCAATTTGGAGATTCGGCAAATGGTAAATCAACATAAGCGGACAAAATGGATAGAGCACCTGAAGTCCTGCCATCTCTCCACAGGTGTAAGTACGCTTTGGACTACTGTCAAGGCCTTGTCTAATCCGAAGAGACATGACGACCGGGTTGAAAGTCAATTCGATGGCTATGTCTCCTCCAAAAGACTGCGCACCACTTACTTTCACCGATGGCGAGGTTCAGAGTGTCACCAAAGGGATAAATCGTCTAAATCTATTGGCCCTGGCGGAATAAGCATGCTGATGCTAAAACATCTTGGCTCGACGGGAGTAAGCTACCTCACCAAGGACCTCAACTTGTCGATGTCCACTCTTCAAATACCTGATGTGTGGAAAGTCGGAAGAGTGGTCCCACTACTGAAACCTGGGAAACCCGCCAACAAAGGGGAGTCCTATCGCCCGATAACTCTCCTTTCCCCAGTAGTGAAGACACTTGAGGCCTTGCTACTCCCGACATTCACTCACCACCTGAGTCTAGCAGACCATCAGCATGGCTTTCGAAAATTGCACAGCACCACCACAGCACTTAGCGTCATAAACGGCCAGATAATTAATGGCCTAAACCAGAAGCCACCCTGAGCTTTTGACACATTCAATCACACAACGCTACTGAGCGGTTGGCATTCATCCGTACTGTTTCGAGGCCAAAACTCCAAACTTAGAAGAAGGCCCTCTTCCACAGGGCGGTGTCTTCTTCCTACTACTGTTTAATTTCTACATTTCGAAACTCCCCCAACCACCAGCGGGAATTTCGGTGACCGTACGATGATGACTGCACGATGTTGACGCCGGGCAATGGAATCGATGGGATGTGCTCAAAAGTAAGCAGCTACCTCTCCGACCTTTCTCGCTTCTTCTCTGCAAGGAGTCATTCTCCCTCACTAAATCCACAGTGACCATCTTCACAAACGGACGAAGGAATACAGGCTGGACTTGAACATTTCAGTCGATGGCAGACGATGGTGCAACGCAGACGAAGAAGCTTCAGACTTGTCAGAACACTGCACTCCGGACTATCACGGGATGCCTGTTGATGTCCCCAATAAAACACCTGCACAGTGAGGTCCTTATGCTTCCGGTTAAGGAACATAACGAGCTCCTCTCTAAGCAGTTTCTGCTGGGGTGTTTTCGTAGAAATCACCCCTGCAGTCGTCTGCTTGAAGCGGAACCGCCTCATAGGAACATCAAGAGGTCATTCCTTGATTACGTCGACGACATCAGACAGTACGCCGACCGGACTTCGGACGCAACTATCTACAAACAAGCACTGACCGCCATAACACCCTTTTCCTTATGGTCCGACCCCGTCAAAACAACTTGTTTCTTGGGCCTCCCGTTAGATGACCTCGACGACAACCAAACTATTACTTATCATCCAAGCGGGGACTAGGTAACTGTTACAACAACAACAACATTCCGCTCTGACCGCGCACCCAAATGAGCCTGATGTTAAAGTAGCTAGATGCTCTTTCTAGTGAAGACAGACACTCCTCGACTAGCTTTGATTGCACTTTTCGCGCGCTCAGAACTAGTAGTGCCGCTCTGCTGTCGGAGTTAATGCTCACTTCTAACGGTAACTGCAGTTTCTTAAACGCCCCTTGATTTTTGGTTTTTCCCATCATTAGTAATTTAAGTTTAAGAAACGAAAAGAGTATAAATAAGTGTCCGGATTTATGAGGTTAATAAAAAAAAGCTGGGTGTTCACAAAGTTTGACAACATTTCAACCGAAATTATTTGACAGGCTCCGTTGATATCGATAATATCAAATTTAAAAACTTCAACATTAAACAAAAGTTGGCAACCGTAATAGAGGTTTATATTATGGGACCTATCCAGGAGATTTCATTCATATTTAAAACTAAACAATATTATGATTAAGAAACCTTCTTCTCTTTATTTTAATTAAATATCACACATATTGACAGCTACATATGCACAAAAAAAAAAAAATTTAGGTATATGGTACATTCATACATGCATACGCATACATATATCTATGCAATTTTATTATAAGTATGCATATATAATATAATGTTGGAATATATTTAGATACATTTTTACTGAAGTTGCCGCTTGGACAAACAGACATATAAGCATCAGGAATTCAGCTCGCCATATTAAATTCGTATATATTACTATATCTAACTGGATTAATTTAAAGGGGTGTAAATAACCATTAGGTGAACAAAACTATTATACCATGTGCCACATATTGTGAGAGTTTAAAAACATATGATGAACTAAATGTAATGTTTAGGTAACTAGGTAAAACCAATGGATCACATATGAATAATATTTAATACCATACCAAATTTATTTTTAAAACCAAAAAAAAGGTGCATTCTAGTTCTAATATCGATGTTTTTTTTCTTCTTTTGACCTACACACATACATATATATACATACGTATGTATATATGTATATTTTACAAATTACTAATAATCATTCTTTGCAAGTGATTTTGCACATTGTTTAGTGTTCTCGGAAAAATAATGTAGACCAATTTAGGAATAATCGTTTCATAAATGGCACTATTTATATTCAATTTTATAGCCTCTCAAGTTGTAATTTGATGCGAAGTCATTCGTCTAATCCTTATTTACAGTTTTATGTTGCATCTGATACTTATTTTTTAAAGCTAGGAGCTCATCGAAAAATACTAACAAAAGTGTTGAGTGCGGAGCAAATCGTAAATAACTAGCCCAAAATCCCTTATAGAGACCATATAGACCTTCGCTTCGCGCTATTTTGAAAAAACAATCCCACCAACCACTATATAATAAGCCTTTTCCATAAGGATCCAATCCCTGATTATACAGACGGGTCGATATAACGTCCGGCGGCGTGATGGCCAATGTTACAACACAACCAGCTAAGAAACCAGCACACATTGAATTTAATGTTGGTTGTACAACTAAATTGTATTCCCGGAGCAATGATTTCGTTTTGCCGAATGTAGCAATTTGTGCGCCCGAACCAATTGAAGCCCGTGGTATGGAGGCTATAGAACCACGCCACAATGCTGCAAGTCCACCATTTAGATAAATTTGTTTTATGGCGTTAAACATACCAGTGTGATGATGCTGATATCCTACAGCCACGTTCTTGGCTGCTTGTGACTGCAGCTGAGTCTTTATCTATAAATAAAGTAACCGGTTTACTGAGCAAATTAAGAGTTGGCGGGTAGTATGCACGTTTTACATTTGATAAAGAATCATAAGCTGTTAGCTACGTAAACTTTTTATCACATAATCTTTAAAATGTATGATAAAACTAACTAACTAAAGTGAATTCTCATACAAACCATTAGAAAGGGACTAGCAAAATAGGCCCCCACTGCACCACCAGCAGCGCCCCAAAAAAGTCCCAATCCAAATGATTCACCACCATCCTTGGTGTGAGTCCACTGCTTATTGACCGCGGCGTTGTACATCCCAAGTCTATAAGTAATATACATTTAAAATGTGTGTTCATTGCATTGTATTTAGTGAGGATTACCGTATTGAATTTATTGTAAATTGAAAGTACATTGCCGGCACTAGTCCTTTTTGCAGTCCAGTCCAACCATCATTTTTTATAACTGTCACAAAGGCATGCACTATACCCCTATAGCGAACATTGTAAGTCCCACTCACGGCTAACTCGCCCTGCAGTTGTAGGCGTGTCTTAATCACCTGCCAAAAATACATTCTGCTTAGGTTATATATTTCACAAAAAGACATATTGTGGTTTACCTCCAGTGGATTCGTGAACAATATGGTGCCCACAGAGGCTAAACCACCGATAATAAAATCACTCATAACGTAGAATTTTTTTTTAAACTATAGGCGAATATTTAGAGATTACATCTGTAAGAATTTATTTAATATCTAACGGCGTTTTACTTTTTTTTTACTAATAAAGGGTAAAGAGTTTTTGAGACTCCATCACTTAGCAATACGGTTTGCCAAAAAGCCAATCATTTAATTAAATAAATATTTCGAGGCGATCTTAAAATATCCACCGTTTAGTACAACGACAACAATACACTAAAAAGTTTAAGTTAATTTTTTCCATAAAGTAAATTAAGCCACTGGTTAACTAGGCTTTTGCAACTCTTATCTAACTACGCCATATCTGTTAGTGATAAAATCAAGTTTGTGTGATCTTTACTAACATATGATTACAGTGATGGCAATATATATTAAACTTTGTGGGTAACACGGCGTATGAGCTACATATGTCAATTGGATCAAGCAGATACAAAATTGAAACAGTACAATACCAGAAATGACAACAGGAAATATAACGAATAAACTGCTACATTAACCTAAATATTGTTTTAGAATAAGGAAATCAATGTTGATAGGCTCAAGGTTCTTTTGCTTGGATTCGTTGGTAAATTTATATTTCTATTGATATAAAAAAGAAATCTTTATTAGAAAGCATATTTAACCATAACAATTTGTTATTTATTTATTTTTTATTAAACATGTTGACACGAAATATATAACATTTATTAAGATGAAGTAGAAGATAAAGCAGCGATTTCGTCAAGCGTATAAAACACAGTATAACCCACTTACTTACTTACACTTAATAAATGAATATATGTAAAAATACACTTATAATCCAATTGCAATTTGCAGTTTTAGCACTACTTTTAGTGCAAACTAAAGTTAAGTTGAAAGTAATTAATGCCAAAATTTTTTTATTTGTCTATCTATATATGTAAGTAAATATTCACTATTTTCAAAAATCGGTTTTATTTTACACTACATTATGATATATACAAATACAAGCATACAAACGTTAAATGTTTTTGTTATATCACGCTTGAACAGATAACAATTGGTATATTTACGACTTGCAACAAAAACAAGTCATTTCGAAGAAAAATAGAAAACATTATTGCTTAGTTACAGCAGGGAGCACAAATCAGTACAAGTTTGTGAATCGTGTATTTCTTTCTGCATAAGAATAGTTGAGCAAATAAAATTTAAAAATATTTTTTCCTTTAGTTCATATTCAATTATTAGCAAAATTGTTAATAATACAAAAAGAAAATAACAAATTCTAAGGAAAAAAGAAATAAAACTGAAACAATTCGCATGTACTCAATTATGCACCGGTTGCGGTTTCAATAAAAAATATCAAAGTTTGTCACATGTTTCCATTATTCTGTGACATTTAACTGATATTGTGCTATATTGTTCCAGGTAAAAATATTGAGGACAGTATTATAGCCAGGATCTTCCACACGAACGATAGCTAAAAAAGCATGAAATAAGTCCATCAGTGGTCAGAGGAGTTCAGAAAAGATACCTATTGTTCCCAAAGCACAAGTCAGGGGCCGCAAAAAAGTTTTGGCGGATGCAGACACATTTATCATGATAAGACATATGAAAAGGAACAAGCCCTTGACACCAAAGAATGCATTTATAGAAATAAATAAGCCTGTTAGTAGATGGATTGCAAGAAGAGCGCTCTGTGACATTGATTATATGACAGCGGCAAGAAGACAAAAACCTGCATTGTCAGTAAAAAATGTTAAGGCCCGGTTGAAGTTCGCCAGAGAACATAGAAATTGGACAGCAGAAATTGGAAGCTTGTAATCTGGTCAGACGGATCAAAATTCTGTCGACTCGGCAGAATTCTGTCGCTACAACAACAACAACAACGGATCAAAATTTAATCGTTTTTAGTCCTATGGCAAACATTATTGATACAACGCCCTCACGCTTCATATGTGACATGTTGCACCTCTGCAAAAAATCAATGAAATAATGTGTGAAGAAGACCATCTGTAGACAGTACCCCGATCGGACTTAGGACGCAACGAACTATAGACATCACTGACCGCTAAGTGAATGGCGTACTAGGAGTCAAACCACCACCCATAGCAGACGTAGAGCTCGAGTTGCCTCGCGAAACCAGAGTGACCCTCGAGCAACTTCGTTCTGGATATTGTAGCAGGTTAAACTCCTACTTATCCAGAATAGACTCCGATATTCCAAGCATATGTCCTGCGTGCAATGAGTCTCCGCATGATACTAACCACCTCTTTGCATGCCCAACAAACCCAACTCATCTAACACCCTTTTCCCTATGGTTCGACCCCGTCGAAACAGCTAGTTTCTTGAGCCTCCCGTTAGATGACCTCGACGACAACCAAACTATTACTTATCATCCAAGCGGGGACTAGATAACCGTTACAACAACAACAACCATCTGCATATTTTGCAGACCTATATACCCGATTTTGTGGAAAGCACCCTATCTTAAAGTAGAAGTCAAATTTCAATAGTAACGGCTTGCCGAACAACAATTCTTACTGATGCAGTGGGCCGCCCAAAGTTGTAATTTCAATCCAATTGAGAATTTGTGGTTAATCGTGAAAAGGTTAGAAAAATATTGAACAACCCCAATGAATCTGGATGAGCTTTGGCAGCGGGAATGGCATAGCATTCCAAATGAAATTATAAAAAATTTGGTGGAAAGTATGCCAATGCATGTAAAAAAAAAGTGTTTTGTGTGATAAAGGGTTATAGACTTAATATTAGGAATTATATATTATCTAAAAAATTTCTGTAAGGTGCAAAATTGAGTACAAGCGAGTTGTTTCAGTTTTATTTGTTTTTTCTTCGAACTTGTTATTTTCTTTTTGTATTATTAGCAATTTGGTTTATATTTGAACATAAACTAAAAGGAAAAAAATATTTTTAAAATTTCTTTGCTACTTACTTATGCTGCATATACAGAAAGAAATACACGTTACACAAACTTGTACTCAAATATGCTCCCTACTGTACATGGATACCTCCACTAGTTTCTTCCATTGTGCGTACTTATAAGGCCACTGATGATTGTCAATTACAATTTGGATTCAACTATAATATTTGTCTCTTATGGCCATTAATTCGTCGTAAAATAGTAGTACTAATGTAGAATGCGGTGCGATGCGCAAATAGTTTGGCCAAAATCCTTTGTATAAACCAAGCAAACCCTCGGTGCGCACAACCTTAACCACGCAATCAAGCCAACCATTGTAATATATACCTTTGCCACTGGCATCAACTCCCTGATTGTAAAGACGAGTGGTTAACACATCAGGTGGTGTTATAGCCAATGACATAATAGTGCCGGCAATACCGCCGGCACAGAAGGAATTCAATGTGGGTTGCGTCACCCAGCCATTGTCGCGTAACCTAGACTTCGTTATGCCAAAAGTGGCAATTTGAGCGCCGGAGCCTAAAGCTGCTCGTGGTACAGCCGCCATTGAACCTCGCCATAAACCAGTAATACCACGCTCAGCATAGATTTGGCTCAACGCTTGGAAAGTGCCGGTGTGCTTATGTTGGTAGCCAACGGCTATAGCTTTAGCAGCTTGTGATTGCAATTGCGTTTTTATCTGAAATAATTCATACAGTATTAGATATAATTACATAAGTGAAATTTTTGTCTTAAATCATTTATATGCGTAATTAATTTTCATGTGATGATATGTGAATGGATTTACTTCTTATAACTCTATGAGTATGTTGTTTTTGCTACGAGAGCGAATTGTCTCAGACATTACACGTTTGTACAAACATACATAGTATGCATAAAGTATGCTGATGTTATTTGTTAAAGAACACAGCAAACAAATTTACTGGATGAGTGCGTGGATGATTAAAAAACAATTAATTGCACAATTTACCATAAAAAAGGGACTAGAAAAATATGTGCCCACACAACCACCCAACGCGCCCCAAAACAAACCCAATGGGAAGGAAACATCACCATTCTTCTTGTGCATCCATTTTTTCTGCATAGCCGTAGTGTAGAAACCTAATCTAAGAATATATGTGAATATTTCATTGAGAGTTGCTCGTACAATGTTGCACAACCTTACCTAAAAGAATTTAATATAAATTGAAAGTACAGCGCCGGCACAAGTCCTTTTTGTAGACCACTTATCCCCTCATTACGCCCGACGACAATAAACGCACTTATTACTCCTTTATAAGACTTCACATAGGTACCACTTTTAGATAGTTCGCCTTGAAGTTGTATTCTCGTCTTTATCACCTATATTCCATGACGCTAATAAATATATAACAATTTCAACTAACGGGTACCAACCTCTAATGGATTTGTAAAGTATGTAGCACCAACGGAAGCGGTACCGCCAATAACAAAATCTGTAATATCCATTTCAACCATCTAACTGATGAATTGTGAAAAACTTTCACTCAACAAAAAACCACCCTATTTCAGTCTTTGCATTTGTTAGTGCAAAAAATTACAGCACAACAGTATGCTTATGAAATTCTAGATAGATTTGTATATTTAAATTACAAAAATTAAGTGAAGTTTTTTTTTGTATCTCTTCAACTCTCAGCTGATCCTATACGCGTGAACAGAGACACTGCAATCAGCTGATTTCATTGCTATTTGCCAAAAGAAGAATAGCCCCATCTGTATAATAGTGCCTTTCTACCCTAAATTAGGATGGCACTTCGATAATTTAGGGTAGAAAAACATTATTATACAGATGGGGCTCTTCTTCTTTTGGCAAATAATTAACTTCTCAGCCACAGACAAACAGTGAGAACGGGAAGCGTGAGAAAACACTGGGTTCAGAAGAAGAACCAGAACAGAGAATGTTAATGGCGAACTCGCCGTTATCAGAGAATGTTGAAGAGTATACCAGAGAATGTTGATGAGTAGAGAAGGAGCAGAGAATGTTGATGAGTAGAGAAGGAGCAAATGTTAAATGAAAACTTTTTGAGTACTAATTTGTAATTCCACAAGAGGGAACATCGAAAAGTATAACTTCGAAAAAGAAAAATACACCACACAATATGCGAAATGCTATAAATAGACACAACGAATATTCCTATATGAAAAATCGTTGCGCATACCTATTTAGATTTATGTTTTCAATTTCTATGATATGACAAATTTATAATTATGAAAAGCCTTCTGAATTAAAAATCTGTATTACCGGTAAAAACCCCAGAATTCATAATAAAATAAACATTTAATAGGCTATTTTTCCAACTTATGTATGTGCGTTATGTGAGCATTTGCTTATTAAAAAAGGATAACAATAAAACGGTGGCTAAGCGGCCACATTTCCACTTTTGTGGTGGCTGAGGTCGTAAGCGGGAAGGGGTTAAGCACAATCCGAATACGAGCCTATACGTTCGAATCCTAAAACGAATTTTATTTAATTTTTTTATTTTATTAATTGGAGTCTAAGCATATCATAATTCAATTTCTTTAATAGGATATTTTACTTCCTGAGATAATTAAAATATATCAGGAAAATATAATATGTTCATATGTTTAGGTTTATTGAATATTTCCTTATTATGCGTATTTACACAAATGTGATAATCACACATACATTTTTAAATACACGTACGCTGATGCTTGCTTCTTCTTGCCCCGCACAAGCAATGACTTTTGTCTACGCTTTTTGCTTTTTGCGAGTTGAACGATCGCAGGGAAGGAGGGATTGGGGCGCACCGCCACATAATTATTTCAGATATATATTTTATTTATCGAATTCGGTTTGAAAACGATTATAGGTATGAATTTATTGGTATATATATATATATATATATATATAATATATATTATATTACGAAAATAATTCATAAATGCATCAGTATTTTTCAATACAAATTAAGCAACATATCAATATATTATGAGCCCTCACTTGGCACGCCTATGTGCATGGTGGCAAGCCAACGAAATAACGGCGAGTTCGCGCGGACATTGTGTTGTTGAAAAAAACCAAATGACGACTTTGCCGACAAACATAAAAATTTATATACATACATACAAACGAGCTCGCATACATATTGACGCCAAATTTTGCGCATCGTCGCGGAGTTGACAAAATTTGTTTCAATTGACAATTTTGCGACAATGTCGATCGGCTATGTTGTCTCGTTTGTCCTTTTTGCAGTGGTTTGCTATTGAAAATTGACTTATGCTCTTTTGAAATATTGCGATTACCAATTGGGCTGCATTTTCATAGCGTCGTATTTAGATAAAATGGGCTAAATCGAAAAACTATGAAACAATGATAATAACTAAACATATAAAAGTACTATATGGACTGTGCTTAGAATATATAGAAGTAGTTAATGATTTCATATGAATGTCAATTTGATATAAATTTTATAATTTAATGCCATAAATAGTGCATAATATGAAAAAATATAAATATTATTTAAACTCGAATAGGTCATGTTGCCAATTCTCCTTTCTGAAGTGAACATCAGACAAATTCTTCAATTTCTGATTTTTAGCAAATGTTGTGAGGAAGCAGCTTGTGGACATACAAATGCGAGGGGGATGGTAGGATTTTTCAGAATTTTTCTCGTTTGAATTTTTCTCGTTTTACTCAATTTCATATTTATTTCGCATATGCGTAGGAATTCTATATGAAAACCAAATGTGGCTTACCAGGCGCACAGAAAAAATAGCGCGGCGCAGAGTTATGAACGAGCGCACTTTGCTTTGAAGCAGACGCACGTTCCTTATGAATGAATTTGTTGTCGTTGTAATATGAAATACTTAGAAAATAAGCCGCGAGTTCGCTTGAATATTATTGGCCGATGATGGTGCGTCTACGTTTTTTTGTCACTTGCGCGAATGTTTGATTTTTTGCGAAAGACATATTGAGGGACATACATATGTACATATGTGTACATATATGCAAATATATTTGGACATGCGAATGAAGGAAGACATATGAACATTGAAGCAAGTAAACAACAATAGCCGTTTGAGTTCACAGATTAGACATAAGAGTTTGAATATTGTCTGTGGTGCTGCTTGTATAGCAGACTTCTTTATTGCAACGTAAATTGACAGCTGTGGTGACATTTTATTTTCGAACTTGCGCGTTTTCGATGTTCCTTCTTAGCAATTAACATTTTAGTACTGCTAACATTTGCTCCTTCTCTACTCATCAACATTCTCTGGTACTGCTAACATTTGCTCCTTCTCTACTCATTTACATTCTCTGGTATAAGTCAACTTTCAATAGCAAACCACTGCAAAAAGGACAAACGAGACAACATAGCCGATCGACATTGTAGCAAAATTGTCGATTGATACAAATTTTGCCAACTCCGCCACGATGCGCAAAATTCGGTGTCAATATGTATGCGAGCTCGTATGCATGTATGTGAATATGTATGATTGTCGACAAAGTCGTCTTTTCTTTTTTTTCAACATAATGTCCGCGCGAACTCGCCGTTATTTTCTTGGCTTGCCACCATGCACAGAGGCGTGTCAAGTGAGGATTCATAATATATTAATATGTTGCTTAATTTGTATTGAAAAGTACTAATGCATTAATGATTTATTTTCTTAATATAATTAATATATATGTAAAAATATAAATACCAATAAATTTAAACCTATAATCGTTTTTCGTTTAAATTCGATAAATAAAATATATATCTGATATAATTATGTGGCAGTGCGCCCCTGACCCCTTCTTGCTTATGTACGTTCAACTTGTTTCTCGCAAAAAGCAAAAAGTGTAGACAAAAGTCATTGCTTGTGCGGAGCAAGAAGAAGCAAGCTTCAGCGTACGTGTATTTAAGAATGTATGTGTGATTATCACATTTGTGTAAATACGCATAATAAGGAAATATTCAATAAACCTAAACATATGAACATATTCTCCTGATATATTTTAATTATATCAGGAAGTAAAATATGCTATTAAAGTAATTGAATTATGATATGCTTAAATTCCAATTAATAAAATAAGAAAATTAAATACAATTTTAATTTTATGTATTTTACGATTCGAACGTATATGCTCGTATTCGGAATGAGCTTAACTCCTTCGCGCTTACGACCTAAGCCACCACAAAAGTGGAAACGTGGCCGCTTAGCCACCGTTTTATTATTATCATTTGTTTAATAAGTATATTGCTTACGCAGCGCACATACATAAGTTAGAAAACTAGCTTATTAAATGTTTATTTTATTATGAATTCTGGGGTTTTTACCAGTAATACAGATTTTTAATTCAGAAGGCTTTTCATAATTATAAATTTGTCATATCATAGAAATTGAAAACATAAATCTAAATAGGTATGCGCAACGATTTTTCATTTAGGAATATTCGTTGTGTCTATTTATAGCATTTCGCACATTGTGTGGTGTATTTTTCTTTTTCGAAGTTATATTTTTCGATCTTCCCTCATCTGGAATTACAAATTAGTACTCAAAAAGATTTCATTTAACATTTGCGCCTTTTCTATTCATTAACATTCTCTGGCAATACTGTCTTATCTAAGTTTTGTATTTGTCATCTCTCTGTTATCATTAATTTTCTTTATAATTATCTTTGTTTATGCATATTTAAAGTTACGGTATTTTAAATTCCGTTGAACTTATATAAATGTAGGAGGACATGTGTGTACGAGCCTCTTTTCTGATTGTAACTCGGTGCTGATTGTACTCGTCTCTGGTTTGATGCTAAGCAAACTGTTCACAATCGTACAAATCCCAATAAAGCATTGAGTACTTTACCCGCTGGTAAATTATTTATTTAACATTTCCTCCTGTGAGGACAAATATTTTTCAATCGTTCGCATCGTCAAGGGTTGAATCTAATGTCGCTGACGGAGCGCACAATTGTCTAACAACATCTGTGATTGGACCCGTTAGCTATCCCGTTATTTGATTGAGACATGTGTAAATGGTTAGCGTTCAAAGGTGCCTTTGAAACACTGGTACATGATTCGGCATACCTAGAAGCGTTTAAATAGGGAAAACTTCGTCAGGAACTACTATTCCTTTAATTGGTTTAATATACTCGGGTGGCTATCAAAAGGTGTGAAAGGCTCTCAAGGACTGCTATGACAATAAAAAGCAGCTAGCGGAAATACAAGTCTGCCGTTTTCTTAACCTTAAAACAGCTACCCATGAGTCATCACAATCGTTATTGGCTATTGTGGAAATGGTTCATGAGCCGCTGCGTGCATTGCGTGTTATGAATATCTCCATAAATCAGTGGGATGCGTTAGCTGTATCAATGGTGGGGGCAAAGCTTCCAGCAATAACTAAGCGAGATTGGTGTATGTGGTGCTCCACTATAGAAATACCACAGTTAGAAGCCCTTTTTTTTTTGAGAGACATGCTCATAGCCTTGCTCCTGAGCCATCGATCTCATTAATGGTTTGTCGGCAGCAACGACGCATGTGGTTACCACGGATGCAGCTCTGTGTGGCCATTGCGGGTTAGCGCATACTTGTAGAATCGCCAGGTGTCGTACATTATTGGCTCTTAGTATTTAGCAACGGTTTGAAGCTCTTAAGAGGCTGAAGATGTGTTACAACTGCATACGTACGGGTCATTCTTATCGACAGTGTTCATCTGGTAGCTGTC